GACGTACACTGTCAATAGAATACAGTTACCGTTGAAGTGGAGGCGATACATTCCTGGGCCGTGTGGCAGCTGCTTGAATCCTATCTCGAGTAGGATCTTGTGCAGATGCTGCTGCCAAAGTCGCGGTGCCTTCTTGATCCCGTAGAGGGATTTCTTCAGTTGGCAGACTCTTGGGTCTCCTTCCCCGTAAGTGTGTGGCTGCTCCACGAAGATTACTGCATCGACTAGTGCGTATAGGAACGCGTTCTTCACATCGATCTGTCGGGGCAGTAGATACTTAGCGGCGGCGATGGCGAGTAGGATGCGCACGGAGGTATGACGGCTTACGGGAGCGAAGGTCTGATCGAATTCGATGCCGTGGCGCCGATCGTAGCCACGTATGACCCACCTGGCCTTGAAGCGCTCGATAGTTCCGTTGGCAGCGGTTTTTACGCGATAGACCCATTTTTTCCGAGAGGACCCTCCTTCATTTCACTGCTGCTCGGTCGACTAGGATCCAGGTGTCCCCCGATTCCAGTGATTTTAGTTCGGCGACCATGGTTGTACGCCATTCCTTGGCGTGGGGTCCGGTCAGAGCCTTCCTTAGGTTCTTAGGCTCGATGACGCGTGAGGCGTTGGTTGTGGCGGTGTGTAGGCCGAGCAGCTGTAGTCCCGTGACGTTGGTACCGTGATGCTCCTCGGTAGTTACTTCCTGCACGTCGTCGTCATCGCTTTAAGGTGCAGGCGAGGGGCTCCTTGGCGTGTTTCCGCGTCTTGATGGTCTGGGCGCGTTGTCATCGTCGCGCGGGCGAGGGGGTACGCCAGGGTGTTTGTCGTCGGAGTTGCGGTCGAGAATCGCCGATGCGACTTCGTCTTTTGGAGAGGCGAAGCTCCTTCCTCCGTTAGTGTAGACTCGTGATGCTCCTGCTTGCTCGTCGTCACGGTATCTGGCGAGGGTGAGGCGTTCGTATAATAGAACGTCTCATGCAGGTGCGATCTTGTTGGTCTGCAGGTCCAAGATGAGCCACCCCTTGTATTTGTAGCTAATGCGAGGGTGAATCCCCTAGCGCGCGCGATCGGTGAACTTGTCGACGGTTGCGGACGTGGGACGCAGCTCCAGCCTCTTAGCAATGAGGTGTCGCCCTTCTTCCCCGTCCACTTCGTGAGGTGAGAGGTTCCTTGTGTTTGATGTTGTGGAGAGGAGGTTGTGCAGACTCACGGCGTGGTAAGTCCAGGACTTAGCGGGGAGTCCGTACTACTTCAGTAGTGTGCGCACCTTCGTCATGAACGTTCGGTTGGTGCGTTCAGTGACCCCTTGTTGTGGGTGTGCGTAAGGGAGCGAGATGTGGTGCATGATCCCTTTCTCTGCAAGGAAATTCTGTAGCTCGTCGCTGCGGAACTCAGCTGCGCCGTCAGTCTGCCAGATTTGTAACTTCTTCCGAGAGTGTCGCTGCGCGTGAGCTAGCCAGATGCGGAATACTTCAAAGGCTCTATTGCGGGTTTGCATGTTTGCTACCCAGACGTAGCGTGTACTTGCTTCCACGAAGGTGAGAGTGTAGCACTTGTCGTTAATGCCTCCGTGACCAACAACGAGGAAGTCACTGTAGACCTTGTGCATCTTCTTGTAGCGGTTGGTGCTGGGCTCGAGCGAGGGGTACGGCTGATGCAACAGAGCGGCTGCGAGGTAGACAGTGTAGGTGTGTGGAAGTGAGGAGCTTCGTAGTTCTGATCCGTTGGGTCGCCGTATGGCTCCAGGTAAGAATACTTTAGATGTAATGTAGTTGCTGAGCGTTTGGCGCGAGGGATGTCCGAGACGCTAATGCCATAGGTCATCATCTGCGCGAACTCATTGTGTGCGCAGGTATTGTGCGCGTGCCGCGCATGCCTCTTCAGGTGTTTCGTCAGAAATTGCTTGCGCTATTGTTGTTGCTTTTCTGCTTCTGCTTCTGCTTCTGCTTCTGCTTCTGTTGGCAGTGCTGACAAGGCGAGCCCCTGGAAGCTGCGATCAGGGATGACTGAGAGAGGTGTGGTGGTACCTTCGATGAACCCTCTGAGTGGATCTTCTGGTTCATGGAGAGGTCCGAAGACGTCGCGTCGTGGGGTTGTCGGCTTGTTGCCCTAGTCGATGTAGGTGCTGCGATAGTGGTAACGTGAAGGTGAGTGGGCTGGTGCTGAGAGATTTCGAGGTGGTCGCCCGAGAGGAACTACAGTTGGAGGTGCTTCTGTTTCTGCTTCTGCTTCTCTTTCTGCCTCCAATTTTTCTTCTCGCGTAGGTGAGCCCCATCCAGTTGCTTGTCTGGTTCCCTGGCCGCCACCACCATTCCCCCAATTTCCTGTTGCGGAGGTTGAAGCGGAGATCCAGCACGATGAGCACATAATTGAATGTGATGTGCATGTTGCTGTCTCGTGCTTTCAGCACGACCATTCCTTGTGCGTTTGCTTGCAGCTGCTGGTTGTTCGCCTCGGTGGCGTAGGTGACTGTGGGAGTGGCGACAACGTTGGCGATATAGCGCTGTGATCCCACCATTTGCTGCCCGCAGCAGCTGTCCAGGTACCAAGTGTTGTAGTTTTTGTTGTGGCCGCGCGAGAGCAGGGCGAGCTGGGGCGTGACGATGGTTGGTGTGTCAAACTTCAAGAATTCCTCACGCGCATGTTAGTCAGTTGGTGCTGGTCACGTGCCGTAGTAGTGTGGGGGGGATTTTATCAGCGGGATCGGCAGGTTCCAGTCCTGGTCATCATTGTCATTGTAGTCGTAGTCTAGGGTTTAAGGCATAGGGTTCTCCTGGTCGCAACAAAGCGACCCAGTACGCTAAGTGGAATAGCGAGGTCCAGGCGAGTACAAGTAATTAGGAACATGAGGCAACCCACAAGCTCAAACTTAGAATTGGGTGGAAACTGACTTGCTAATGCTGGAGCTACCACATTATAATGAATGGTTCATATTGTAAACATTATTATTATGATGGAAGTATATAAAGTGAGTAATTTCTATTGAAGTGAGAAATGCATGTCATTCAGTCTCAGACCATGCAACCAGATCGCATAGATGTGACACAAACGCTGCAAACAAAAAACATATTGCAGGGCCGTGTCTTTCTCGGAAGTTCTGTCGACCCTCTGCAGTTGGGGGAAGCGAACTGGCGTTCTACACACGAATGTGATTTTACAGCCTAGCGGCCTTGTGCGATTGCGAAGGAGCGGACGACGCTTGGATGGTGCTAGACGTCGAAAGTAAAGCTGACTTTCCAGCACCTTGACGACACCACCACCACCTCAGCTAAGAGAGGCGACCAATTTGACGTGTGACGTGAGTGTTGGAGTCCTCAATGCGCACATGACGAACTTTGTGCGACGCGACTCCGCCAAATATATGAAAGCTGAACGAGGATTCTGAGACAGGCGATCATCTCGAACCGCATTCATGAGGCTTGTTGAACAGTTGTTACCGAACCGCGTATCCTTCGGAACACATCCAAGGAATTCTTGACACTGTTCGGACACGGTTCCATCTGCGCTTCGCCCATTTTTGGGCAGCGAGTTGCTGTGCCACTTTCGCACAGTTCATCACGATTATCCAGGCGCTCGCCTCGGCTTTCCTGCGGGCCGATGGATTTCGAACGACCCATCGTGGACTTCAAACCAGTCGTGCAGGAATTTGTGAATGGCCATATTGCTGGCGAGCGAGAGGCGAGCAATGCAAATCGCTCTCACGTGCGACTCCGTCGTCCTTGTTGCAGTTTCATCTCGGGGCGGCATGTGTTCCTACTTGGATTTTGAGGTGAACCTCGAGCCAGTAACGCGCGACGCCGTCGTTCATTTGAACCGAAGCGCTTGCTCAGCGATTTGCTTGTTTCGCCTTGCGATTCGGATGTGGCACGTCGTCCTCTCGATGAAGCCACGGCGTGTCAACTCCGATGCCCTTATTGAAGTACAGTACCTGTGTAATCCTCCGTACGTACCTCCTGTCTGGCAATTATGACGAGCTCAGATGAGACCCACCCTCGTACGCCTTTTCGCAACGTTGAAGAGAGGCGCACAAATCTTCGCAAATCCTGTTCTGTATCCCATACAGTTCGCCTCGCTCCGTCTGGCTCTGTTTCGCCAATGCCCCAGCCACTGTATCCGCCGCCGCGATGAGCGGAATTGGGCGGCACGGTTGGGACCACACCTCCGCGTTTCTCCCCACCTTGTTGCGTGGGTGGCGGAATAAAGCAGTGTACAACCCCATGCACAGGCATTCACACGCTACTGTAGTGCGAAGCGCCTGCCTCAACAGAAGGGTGGTTGAGGTGACGCGAGTAGGGTGATCCTAGTTGAGCAAGGCAGAACCCCCCAAACATTCACGTCACTGCTTGCCCCCTACCTTGCTTTGCTCTCACCTGGAATGACATGGCGTGAGCCGCAGCGCAGCATACTGACCACGGGTCGCGAGGCATGTCCATCGGAGCGCAGCACGATACGTAACAAATTACAGTCTCCCCAAAAGCAAACCAGCCGCCGTGGTGCTGTAGTGTAGATAGGTGGATGCGAAGGCAGTTGCATAGCGAACACTGCAAATCGCTTCGCTGCTCGCTCGCTTCGTTAGCCCAGCCCGTCGCTGTCGCGCCTTCAAACCGAGCCCGCATACGCGGCCACTAGGAGCGACGGCCGTGAATCTAAATCGCGCCCCGTTACCCGTCGCCTGTTCAAATTGCAGCTCCCGAATTCAGCAGCACCCCCGTCTTAGCTGCGCATTATCAATCGACAGTTGTCAATTAAAAGCCGTGAACTCCCTGCTCTTTTGAGACTTGCATTCAAAAGTTGGAGTTCCTCACACTACAATACTACTAAGCAGACTATGCAGCACTTCATTCGCTGCTAGACAGAACAGCGCGCAGTATTTTGTTTAGATCGTGTGACGAGTTGGATACGCTACTTGCGCAATATTAGCATCATAGGACGCAGGATCAGCTTAAGAATTTCCACCATCGCAACCATCGTCCTCAATATTGAAAGAGCGACGCAGGACGATCATCTAGGCCATGGCAAAGCCAGTCCATTCTTCCCAGAGCTACTCGTCGTCGGAGAGCGCTGCAGTGATGGCGAGAGCTGCTTTCGTCGACCCTTTCGCGCCCGTAACTCGTAAAGCAGTTTCGGGACCTCTTGCTCCACCGCAACAGCAGCAGCAGCAGCAGCAGCAGCAGCAGCGGTTGTGTGTCTCAGGCCCGTTGTACCGGGATTCTAGACTCGCCGCCCCCTCGTATAGCGACGCGGCGCAACAAGAGCAGCAGCTGCAGCAGCTCGCGGGTCCTGCGTCTTCCTTCGCCACAACGCCGCTCGCGGAGCTTTGGTGGGGGACTGCCCCTTCCGCGGACGCCATGGCGGTGGCAGAAGCAGTATGGGGTGCGCATGCTGCGCAACACCATGCAATGCTTGCGCCTCATCCCGCATCCCCCTCCTTGGCCTCTCCCTCGAACGCTCCGATTGAAGCCACGGGCGCGGCCGGGGGCTGCTGGGAGTGGGCCGAAGCGGGAGCAATGGCGGCGGTGGCAGACGAAGAGGAGGTATCTTCGACGTACCGAGGAGACGGATCTTGCCCGAACACTCCCGGGTGTAACGGCGAGTATACCGCTTCTGCTGGTTTTCGCGACGGTTCGCTTAGAACGGCAAAGTGCACGTGTGGTGGCGAGGGATACAATCGCGCCATGTGTTTGTGTGCGATGGGCGTGCCGCATCTCGCGGTGCCGCAAGGGTTTGACGTGGAGGGGTGGACGACGAGCTGCGACAGCGACATGGACGGCGACGTTGCTAGCGTCGCAGACGACGAGGAGGGAAGCTGGGGGGAGAGCGAGTGTGGGCCTAGCGCGGAGGCTCCTTCTGTCGGCGGTGATAGCTGGTGGTTAGGATATAGCACAGATTGTGGGAGCAGCGCGTGTGGCGGCGGCTCATGCGCAGTAGCCTGCTGACGAAAAGGCCTTCCAAATAAAGGACAGCCCGAAAGAGGAAGCGCTGTCGCGTTCGCTTCTCCCTCGTTTTGCAAGCATATTGTTTCAGTCTTCACGAGTCGCTGGCACACATCGTTTCAGCGCTCGTAGCGGATTCGTCGCTCAAGGATTTGAGGCATGGAAGCAGGTGACACGAGCAGAAGAACTGCCCATAGGGGTCTCCAATCGGACCTCCAGATACGCAGCAGGACTCCAATGGTTCATTGCAGTCCTTCATTTCGTATATGATTGAAGGTGGCTTTTCTGCATGCTCCTTGTACTTCTCAAAGCAAGCAAATCTTCGTTTATACTATTGATTTACTTTTGGTTCTCATGTATTGCGGAAGGAACCTGAGCTACCTAAGGTAGAAACCCAAGTCTGAACAACTGGTGTTATGCTTAAATCATGCCATCCCATGCCATTTGAGCCTAGATCAGCTCTGTACTTCAAACAAGCCAAATCCTCTCATTCAGTGCATCCTTCTGTTTCCAAGTTTTCATCAGTTGGTGATTAAGTTTTCATCAGTTACCTGTAGTATATTCCGTCTCAGATCGGTTGAGTTCATTAAGCAAAGCTTCTGTAGTAAGCGAACTGGAAATCTTTATCGAAAGCTTGTTTTGCATAGCGGAGCAGAGCGTTGTAACGCAGCTATACCCAGTGCGTGAACAAATCCTGCTTGGTTGAATTGTTTTGTTACGACGAGCAACCCCCATCAAGCAGTGCTGAGTCTAGTCTGGAGGAGTCTGGACTTCACTCACGCTCATCTCCAAACCCTGATTACGCCAAGAATCGCCTTACCTGACGGTGCCTGCAGCAACCTCACACCATGGCCGGCAAACGCGCCGGGCGCGGATCCCGTTACATGCGCCGCGATTTTAAAAAGAATCGCCCCAACGAGTGGAACCGCCCGCGCCGCGACGAGCGGCCCGCGCAACCCGGCGCGGAAGACGGCGAGGCTGGCGGCGCGAGCGGCGGCGCGTGGAAGGCGTTCGTGCTGGAAAATGAGGCGTTCGAGACGTATTACAAGGTGATTGGCTGGCGGATCGTCTAGCGGATTGGCTGACGCCTTGGATCCGCGATTCCGGTTCTAAGATTTTTAAGAAGTGAATGTGTTTTTTGCGGTAACGGGGTTCACGAGGCGTGCTTCTAAAGGAGAGTGCTGGTAATGGGCGATCCCTGTGTTGGCCCGGCTAGTTTCGCCAGGAAAAGTACACCGAAACAAGGGTGGCTGCTAATGACGTGTGTGTACACGTGTGCGTGTACGTGTGCGTTCGAGTACGTGTATGTGCGTGCGCGTGTGTGCGCGCATGCGTGCGTGCGTGCTCTGGGTGGTCGTAGACATGGATCGCAATTCCGAGAGCAGCCAGTGACCTAACGATCACCACGTCGCTGTCGCGTCGTCGCTGTCGCCTCGTCTCTGACAACTGAAAAGCTCAGTTCATTCGGTTATGATCACACTGACGATCTATCGTTACATCTGGCGATTCTTCGTCATCTGCCGAGCCGTTTTCAGCGGCTCGGGCACGCGTGCGCGCAGAGATTGAGGTTTCCTGTTTCGCAATTAGATCGCGCAACGTCGCAGCAGGACGCGGCAGGGCACAAGCGCCGTCGAGTTCCCACTTGTCCCTTTCTGACGCGGCTAAAACGCACCGTCGATCGCTTACGAGCTCGTCTCCAGATTTCTCTCCCGTCGCTGTCTCGCGGGCGGCGAGTAGGGTGGGTGCTATTCGAATGGGTGCAGGGTAGGGTGGATCGACTCAGAGGCCAGGCCACCTTCATTTCGCCTTCAAAGCCGAGTCTCGTCGCTCAACAACGCGGTGACGATCTGCTAGGCTGACTCTCGTGCTTCGTACTCTCTCTGGTGCGTCGCCCTGCCCTCCGTGTCGGACTAAACCCCTTATGTCCCCTAAATCCCGACCCGAACCCTCCCTCTACTTCCCCCCCCCCCGCCCCTCCCTGTTCCACTGCATGCGACGGCGATGGCGACTGCGACTGCGACTGCGACTGCGACGGCGGCGGTGATGGCGGCGGCGGAAACGGCAACGGTTTCTGAAAGCAGAAGCAGCGGCTGCTTCCGGAGTCGGAGTGGGATGCGTTTGTGGCGAGCATGCGCCAGCCGCTGCCCACCACCTTCCGCATTAACGCCAAGTGAGTCCGCCCCTCACGTGTGCCGTGTGCCATTATAACGGGGGGGGGGGGAGGAGGAGGGGGAGGGTTGGCGTGGGGGGGTTGAAGGGGGGTAGGTGGGGAGGTGGAGGGGGAGGTGGAAGGGAGGAGAGGGGAGGGTTTTTGAGTCATCTCAAAAGTCATGTCGTTTGCTGTGAGCATGCAGCAGCAGCTGCCCAAGTGAGTCATCTTCCGAATGCACCCCACGTGAGTCGTGCACAACAAGCTTTGCCTTTCAATTCAAATTTCGCGTTTTGGCTGTTGGTCAAGGTTTTGGGTTCAGTGAGGGTTCTACCCTCACCTTACCTTGTAGAGAAAGAGCGTGGAGGAGACAATAACGGTAGTGTAGGGCGGATAGACAGAGCTCATTCATTCTGACATGGTGGCTCATACACTAGGCCAACCAAATGGCAGTAGCTCACCATTTCCTCTCGTTGCATGCTGATCTGACTTGATCTTTCCCCCAAGTCCTCCTTCCTCAACCCCCACTTGCACTTCTCTAATAAAAACCCTCCCACATAACCAACCCAATCTTTCACGGGCGCCCACGCCCCCCTCGCCCGCTCATGTGTGTGCTGCAGTGGTCCGTTTGCGATGCACATTCGCGACGAGATGGAGCGGCATGTGGCCGAGTCGTTCAGCCAGCCGTTGGAGGTGGGTGGCTTCTGCTGCTGCTGCTGCTGCTTCTGCTGCTGCTGCTGCTGCTGCTGCTGCTGCTGCTGCTGCTGCTGCTGCTGCTGCTGCTGCTGCTGCTGCTGCTGCTGCTGCTGCTGCTGCTGCTGCTGCTGCTGCTGCTGCTGCTGCTGCTGCTGCTGCTGTATCTTCCGACCCTTGCACCCAGTGCTGCTGAGATCCGATGCTGCTGGGAACAGTTGTTCTGCAGGGTTCTTAAAGCAGAGCACCGCACACAGAGACACGCTGGTCACAGGCACACACACACACACACACACACGCGCACGCACGCACGCACGCGCACGCACTCACGCACACGCACACGCACACGCACACGCACACGCACACACACACACACGCTCTGACGTGTTCACACACACACTCGGTCACCAACGCATCCACGTGTCTGCTCACATCTCTTAGTGCGTCTCTTACACGTCCACCTCACGTCCACCCCTTCCGTCGTCCGCCACTCCCCCAACCCCCCCCTTTCCACACACACGTTCACACGACTTCCACCTTCACTCTGCCCCCCCCTCCCCTCCCCTCCCCTCTCCTCCTCTCCCCTTCTCTCCTCTCCTCTTTCCCCCCCCCCCGCATGCAACACACGAGCAGGTGGAGGGGGAGCGCGTGGAGGCGCCACGAGTGCTGCCGTGGTACCCGGACAGGCTGGGCTGGCACCTCAACATCTCCCGCCAGCAGCTGCGCACCCTGCCCGAGCTCAACAGGTGCTGTGCGGTGGGGCGCGGTGGAAGGAGTGGGGTGGGGTGCGGTGGAGTGGGGGTGGGGTGGGGTGAGGGGAGGTGGTGTCTGTGATTGGAAATGTCGTTTACATGCCCCCGTCTCCCCACTCCTTGTACCCGTTCCACCCACCCAACCACCCATTCCCATCGTTGCCTATATCGTATGCTTTATCTCCGTGTCGTCTGGCTTTGGCTCTTTGAGAGTTTGGAGACTCTCTTTTGCATGCGTTATCTCATCAAAAGTCGAACTCCTCTTCCTCTTTGTCTGTGTGTTGTCGTTCAATACATGTGCATGCGGGAATAAATGTGTCTTTGTGGGTGCAATGCCACACCCATGTCTGGTGGTGTGTATGTGGCCATGTGTATGTGGCCATGTGTATGTGGCCATGTGTATGTGGCCATGTGTATGTGGCCATGTGTATGTGTATGTCTCGGTGCCTGTATTCGTCCATGTGTATGTGCATGTGTGTGCATGTGTGTGCGTGTGTGTGCGTGTGCGTGTGCGTGTGCATACACACACGTGCGGGCACACGAGCAGGCTGTTTGACTTCATCAAGAGGGAGAACGAGATTGGAGCCATCACTCGCCAGGAGGCCGTCAGCATGGTATGCCAACCGTCCCTCCCTCCCTCCCTTCTGTATGTATGTAATCAGCATGTAGTGAGGAGATTGTTGAGGGCCGTCCTTCCTCAGCTCTCTCAGTCTCCGCACTGGGAGGGGTGCTCTCTCCGCACTGAATGAAGGTCACAAATGGACAGTGCACGGCTGTAGCAAGTTGGACTTTTTTGTGTTTCACTATGGTGGAGCATGGTGCTTGCATGTCCTTGCTCTGACACGATTTTATTTCCTCCTCTCTCCCCTCCCCCGTTACGCTCTCACTTCTCCTCCTTGATCCTCCCTACTCTCCCTCTTGTGAGCTTATTCGTCCCGCTCCGGTGCTCCCCTCGTCAATTTCTACCGTCTCATCTGTTTGTGTTTTCTATGTGTCCACTTGTGTGTGTGTGCGTGCGTGTGTGTGTGTGTGTGTGTGTGCGTGCGTGTGTGTGTGTGTGTGTGTGTGCGCGCGCGCGTTGCAGATCCCACCGCTTCTTCTGGACGTGCAACCGCATCACAACGTGCTTGACAGTAAGACCCTATTCTGCTCTGCTCTGCTCTGCTCTGCTCTGCACTGCTCTGCTCTGCTCTGCTCTGCTCTGCTCTGCTCTGCTCTGCTCTGCTCTGCTCTGCTCTGCACTGCTCTGCTCTGCTCTGCTCTGCTCTGCTCTGCTCTGCTCTGCTCTGCTCTGCTCTGCTCTGCTCTGCTCTGCACTGCTCTGCTCTGCTCTGCTCTGCTCTGCTCTGCTCTGCTCTGCTCTGCTCTGCTCTGCTCTGCTCTGCTCCTCCTCCACTCTCCTTTCCCAATCGCCGTTCCCTTGCTCTTGATCACCACCTCTCCCTTCTTCCCCCGCCAACCCCCCAACCCTCCCCCTGCTCCACACCCCCCCTGATTACCACTCTTTTCCTCCCCTGCTATTCCTCTCCTGTGCCCCTTCTACCACATGCCTCTTCGTCTCTCCCTTCCCTCTTTCTGCATGGTTGTGCCCACTTCCCCCCCCCCCCCCCCCCCCCCCCCCCCCCCTCCCTCCCTCCCTCCCTCCCCCCCTTCCCTCCCCCCCTCCCTCCCTCCCTCCCTCCCTCCCTCCCTCCCTCCCTCCCTCCCTCCCTCCCTCCCTCCCTCCCTCCCTCCCTCCCTCCCTCCCTCCCCCCCTCCCTCCCTCTTCTTTCAATCCGTCTCCCTACCTCCTTCGCTGCTCTCCCTCCCCCCCCCCAGTGTGTGCGGCGCCAGGCTCAAAGACCTTTCAGCTGCTGGAGATGCTGCACGGGGGGTGCGGGCCTGCACAGCTGCCCTCGGGCATGGTGGGGCAAGCATGGGGGATGCGTGCAGGGGGGCGGGGGATGGGCGCAGGGGGGCGAAGAATTGGGGCAGGGGGGCGGGAGAATGGGTGCAGGGGGGCGAGGGATTGGTGCAGGGTGGTGGGGGATGGGCGCAGGGGGGTGGGGAATGGGTGCAGGGGGTTGCGCGGGGCAGGTGGGTGGGTGCAGGGTTGTACAGATGGTGAGTGGGACAGTGTAAAGGAGTGGAAATGGCTTTTAGTCATGCTGTCTTGTGTTCCTGCTTTGCCCGTTTCTTCCGTTTCTACTTCCTCCCCTCCCCGCTCTCCTCTTTTTTTCTCCCCTTTTCTCCCTTGCTTTTCACAAGCTGGCATAATCACCATATTCAGACATTCAAATTCCTTCCTCGCTCCTTGCCTTTGTTTCCCCCTTCCCTTCCTCTTTCCCTCCCACTCCCCATCCCCTCCCCCCCGTTCCCCTCCACCTTCCTCCCTTTCCCCTTCCCCTTCTTCCCCTCCCCTTTCTTCCCCCTTTCCCTCCCCATCCCCTCCCTCCCCTCCCCTCAAAACCCCCCTCCACCCCCCCATCAGGTGGTAGCAAACGAGCTTGACATCAGGCGCTGTCACCTCCTGGTGCACCAGACGCAGCGCCTCTCCTCGCCCTGCATCCTCGTTACCAACCACGCCGCCCAGCTCTTCCCCTCCCTCTCAATCTCCTCTGATGCCGCCGCTGCTGGGCCTGCCCCCGCTGCTGCTGAGGCGGAGAAAGAGGGGGAGGAGGTGAAAGGGGATAAGGCGGAGGCAGTGGGTGGTGAGGGCAAGGGGAAGGAGCAGGAGGGGTTGGATGGGGCGGCGGGTGAAGCAAAAGGAGAGACGAAAGGAGAGGCGGAGGGCGAGGGGGAGCTGTTTGACCGCATTCTGTGTGACGTGCCGTGCAGTGGCGATGGCACCATGCGCAAGGCACCTGATATTTGGAAGAAATGGTTTGTGGAGTGGGGGGTGGCTGGCTGGCTGGCTGGCTGGCTGGCTGGCTGGCTGGGCGGGCGGACGGGCGGGTGGATGGATGGATGGGTGGGAGGAATGCATGAGAGCAATGCATGAGAGCAATGCATGAGAGCGATGCATGAGAGCGATGCATGAGAGCAATGCATGAGAGCAATGCATGAGAGCAATGCATGAGAGCAATGCATGAGAGCAATGCATGAGAGCAATGCATGAGAGCAATGCATGAGAGCAATGGATGAGAGCAATGCATGAGAGCAATGCATGAGAGCAATGCATGAGAGCAATGCATGAGAGCAATGCATGAGAGCAATGCATGAGAGCAATGCATGAGAGCAATGCATGAGAGCAATGCATGAGAGCAATGCATGAGAGCAATGCATGAGAGCAATGCATGAGAGCAATGCATGAGAGCAATGCATGAGAGCAATGCATGAGAGCAATGCATGAGAGCAATGCATGAGAGCAATGCATGAGAGCAATGCATGAGAGCAATGCATGAGAGCAATGCATGAGAGTAATGCATGAGAGCAAGCGAGGGACCATTGTTTCTCGCCTCTCTGAGTCTTTACATGGAACCCGCACAGTTGCCCACATTCCCCCCTCCCGGCCTCACTGCCCCTCGTTTCCTTTCTGTCACACGCACGCCTCTTTCCCGCTTAGTCCTCCTCACATCACTCTCCCCACCGTTCCCTTCACCCGCTCATCCCCCCCCCCCCCATCACCCCTCCACCCCCCCCCCCCCCTCTTTCCCCCCCGTTTCCCTCCCATTGCGCCCACTGCTCTCCCCGTGACGCCCGGCAGGAACACGGGCAACGGCAACGGGCTGCATGCGCTGCAGATCAAAATCGCCATGAGGGGTGGGTGATGGGGTGCTCTCATTGGCTCTGCGTTGGGGTGCTCTGGGGTGCCCTGAGGTGCTCTGGGGTGCTCTGGGGTGCTCTGGGGTGCTCTGGGGTGCTCTGGGGTGCCCTGAGGTGCTCTGGGGTGGCAAGGGAGGGAAAAGGGGGGTGCTTTAACTGGGCTTCGGGTGTTGCTGATGAGGAGTTGAGAGTGACCAGAGCAAGTGCTTTGAAGGAGGGGATGCGTTTCCTGTGGTTTGTGCCTGAGGCGATGCATGCATGCATGCACGGATTTCTGAGGCGCCTCAAACTGCGCATGCGACAAAGGCATGCGCGGTTTTCTTCTTGTGCCTTCTTCATTAGCATTTCTCATCTCCTCCTTTCGGCCTCTGCGTTTGTATCTAATTCCCTGCATCCGCACTAACATCTCCCCCTCCCGCTATCCCTCTTCTGCCCCACTCCCCGCCCTCCCCTTCTCCCTTCCCTCCATCTCGCATCACCCCTCTTGCCCCTTGTGTGTGCCTGTGTGTGTACATGCATGTGTGTGCGTGTGCGTGTGTGTGCGTGTGTGCGTGCCTGGCAACCATCAGCGGTGGCGCTGCTGAGGGTGGGGGGGCGCCTGGTCTACTCCACGTGTTCGCTCAACCCTCTCGAGAACGAGGCCGTCGTTGCTCAGGTTCGTCACTGCTGCTGCTACCCCCCTCATCTGCTGCCGCTGCTCTGCCCTTAATGTTCCCCACTGTTCCCATCCCACACACCATGTTCCCACACACACGCCCCCACACACATGCCCTCACACACACATTCCCTTCCGCCTCCCCTCATATCGTGCGTGACTCCTCACAATGGCTGCATGCTTCTCCTCCGCTCCGCTGCCCTCAGCATGGCCTCTCCCTCCCTCTGCTTCTCTTGTCCCTACCCTCCCTCTCCCCGTTCTCCGCCCTTGCTGTCTTCCCCCTCTTCCCCCCTGCCCTCCCGCTCTGCAGATCCTACGGGAGTCCAAAGGGTGCATGCGTCTAGTGGACTGCTCCCACATGCTTCCCAACCTCAAGCGCTCGCCTGGGCTCAAGTCGTGGAAGGTGAGACCAGACTTTTCCCAAAAGGGGGTGCTGTGCGGGGGGGGGGGGGGAGGGTGAGGAGGGGGGTGGTAGTGAGGGGAATGCGGGGAGAGGGAAGGTGGGGAGGGGGGGAGCTGGTTAGGAAAAGACTGGGGAGATGGGAAAAGTGGGGAGGGGAGTGGAAGGTGGGACGGGAGGGAATGGTTGGGGCGCAGGATGCGTTGTGGTTTTATGCTTCCAAAGATGGAACACAAGTGATACACATCAACTGTTAGCATTGCTTTCGCTTTCGCAGTCCTTCTGTCCCATCGTGCCCTTGGAGTCAACTCAAATGTCACCCTTCTTGGATGGCATGGCCCCCATGGTGATCCCACCCTTCCGCCTCCATACCTTCCTGCTGCGCGTCTCCTCTCACACGTACCCGCTGCTTGCTTCCTCAGTTGAAGGAAGCAATGCCTTCACATCCCACTTGTCCTCTGGCAAGCAATGCCTTACTGCTGTCCAGTCCGTCTCCTTCAGCTTCTCCGCTTTCTCTCGTTCCCTCTCTCTCCCTGCATTACTCTACAGCCCTCACCCTTCTCACCCCTCGTCCATGCCTTCCCGTCCCATGGTCGTCTGCCTCCTACCTCTCCTCCCGATCCCTTACTGTGGCTTCTCCTCCCTTCCCCCATTCGTCCCTCCTTCTCTCTCGCCCCTCTACCTCCCTCCCTTTTGCCTCTCTTGCCTCTCCCTCTCTTCCCCTCTCTCACTCCGTCTTTCTCCAATTTCTGCCCTCTTTTCCCACCTCACCCCCGCTGCAGGTAAAGGATCGGTTTGGGTGGCATGCGCACTATACCCCGCGCATCGTGTACCGCGGGGCAGTCACCACCCCATCCATGTTCCCCTCCGGTCAAGCACCCGCTGCTGCTGCCACCACCGCTGCTGTTGCCCCTGCTGCTGCAGCCACCGATGGTGCTGCAGCTGCTGCTGATGCTCCAATTGATGGTTCCGAAGATGCTGCTGCTGTTGTGGAAGAGAAGGTGTCTGGTGCGGTGGAGGGGGGTGGTAAGGAGGGGCAGGGGCAGGAGGAGAGCGCAAAGGAAGTGCAGGGGGAGGGAGAGAAGGAGAAGGCGGATGAGGGAGTGGAGGGAGGGGAGGGAGGGGAGTCAAAGGAGACAAAGGAGGGAGAGGAGGGAAAGACAGCAGAGGGAGAGAAGGGAGAGAAACCAGAAGGGAGGCGAAGAGAGGGCAGGAGGGGGAGGAGAACTGCAGAAGTGGTGGAAGAGGAGGGGGAGGAGGAGGAGGCGGAGGTGTGCGAGCAGGCAGTGGAGCTGTGTGTGAGAGTGCTGCCCCACCAGCAGGACACGGGCGGGTTCTTCATTGCTGTGCTCGACAAGGTTGCTCCTTACACTGGTGAGCATGATCTTGTGGGTTGAGAGATGGTGTTTGAGGCGCCTCAAAAGTGCTGCCCCACCAGCAGGACACGGGGGGGTTCTTCATTGCTGTGCTTGACAAGATTGCGCCCTACACCGGTGAGAACACGGCAGCCTCAAAAGTGCTGAATCACCAGCAGCACACACGGGAAGTGGAGGAAAGGGGGGGTGGAAGCGCGGGTGGAAGGGGGGGGTCGGAAGGGGGACTTCATTCCTGTGCTTGACAAGGTTGCTTGCCGTGCCGTGCCGTGCTGTGCCGTGCCGTGCCGTGCAGGACCAGTGTGCATTGGTGAGACCACGCCGGTATCCTGTTTGAGGCGACCTAGTTCGCTGTCTTGTCTTCCTCCCACTCTCCCGGCGCTCAAACAGCAAGACTGCGAACTAGGTCGCCTCAAACAGGATTCCGGCGTGGTCTCACCAATGCACACCGGTATCCTGTTTGAGGACTGATTCTTCTCCACGCCTCCGCATTGCTGCCCCTCTTGTCCTGCGTCGCCCACTTGCGCGTCACTCGCATCATTTTGTCTCTCTTCCTGCCTCACCCACCATTCCCCCCATGCCTCCCCACTTGCCCCCATGTCTCACCCCCTCCTGTGCAATAGCCCCGTCTCGTGAGTGGTGGAGGGAAAGAGAGGGGGGGGAGGGAGGGGATGAAGAGGGCGAGGGTGATGGGCAGGACACCAGAGGGAGGGGACGAGGGAGAGGAAGGGGGAGAGGAGGGAGGGGTAGAGGAGATAGAAGAGGAGGAGACAGGGAAGGGGGGGTGAAGGGGGAGGAGGAAGCTGAAGAGGCGGTGGGAGGTGAGGGGGCGGAGGCAGGAGAAGCAATGGAGGTGGAGGAGGAAGGAGGCGATGCTGAGAACGCAGCAGAGAACGCAGCGGCAAATGATGATGACCAAGAACTGCTGAGCCCAGACGCTGCTGGTGCTCCTGATTCCATTGACGGTGTGTCGGAGCCTGCGGATCCAGCAGACGAGGCAGAAGCAGACCCAGCTGATGATGCCGCCGCTGCCGCCGCTGCTGCTGCTGCTGAGAACGCTACTGGTGACCCCGGCGACGGCAGCAAGGAGCAGGAGAAGCAGCAGCGCTTGCAGCGGCGGCAGCAGCAGGGGCGGTGGAGGGGCGTGGACCCAGTCCTCTTCCTGTCAGACGAGCCCACCATCGCCAGCGTGGAGGCATTCTACGGGGTCCTGCCCGCCTTCCCCCTGCGCTCCCAGCTCATCGTGCGTAGTGACGCGCCCAGCCACAGCAAGCGCATCTACCTGGTGTCGAAGCCCATTGCACAGGCTATTCGAGCCAACCAGGAGTCAGGGCAGCGCCTCAAGATGGTGTCCACAGGCGTGAAGCTCTTTGTGAGTTGCTGATGGTGGTGGAAGATGCTCTCTCTCTGGTTTTTTAGCCGCTTTAGAAATGCGCTCAGTTGCTAATCGGGCAAAGCAAACCCAGGCGTTGGATGACGACGAGGTGCCATGCTGCTCCTGTCAGTCGGCCGAGGGTCGGCCATGCATCACTTGCCGGCTCATGCACGTGCCTCTTCTTCTCCCCTTTTCACCCCCAACCCTTTCAACCCACTCCACCTCACTCCTTCCCTTCCCTCCTCCCTTTTTCCCCTTCCTCCCCTCTTCCCCCACTCTCCCCCTTCCCCTTTCCCCCACCTCTTCCCCCATCTCCCTTCTCCCACTACCAGGAGCGGCAGAGCACCAAGGATGGCGAGGTGCCGTGCTGCTTCCGTCTGTCAGCCAAGTGTATAGTTTTCAAATTTCTCAAAAGCTGAAGGCCTGCCCTTCATGACACACCAACTCGTGGACATGCCTCCTCCTCTCGTCTCCCCTAATCAACCCCAACCCTTCCAACCCCACCCCACCGCACTCTTCCCCTCCCCCCTCCCCGCACCCTCCCCCCTCCCCACACCCTCCCCCCTCCCCGCACCCTTCCCCCTTCCCCCCCTACCAGGAGCGGCAGAGCACCAAGGACGGCGAGGTGCCGTGCTGCTTCCGCCTCTCAGCCGAGGGTCTCCCGTTCATCCTGCCCTTCATAACGCGCCAGCTCGTGCACGTGCCCCCGCGCGACTTCCGTGTGATGCTCTCAAAGCGCTCCGTGCTGCTCACAGAGCTCTCCGAGGGGGTTGCTAAGGATCTGGAGGCTGCGGATATGGGCTGTGTTGTGATGGTGCTGGACCCCAAAGGTGCGTGTTGGGGGGTTGGAGGGGGTGGGAGGGGGTGGGTGGGGATGGGAGGGGTTGGGCGAGGGTGGGAGGGAATGGGAAGGGGTGAGAAGGTGGGGGAAAGAGTCTGCCCTTCATCCTGCCCCCCTCCCCCGTGCGACTTCCGTGTGATGCTCTCAAAGCGCTCCGTGCTGCTCACAGAGCTCTCCCAGGGGGTTGCTAAGGATCTGGAGGCGGCGGACATGGGCTGTGTTGTTCTCGTGCTGGACCCGACAGGTGTGTTGGTTGGGGGATGCTGTTGAGGTGCTGCTGACAGAGCAAGGATACTCTCCTTAGGAACTTGCTACTCATACCCCCTCTCCGCCCATCATTGTCCTTATCCTTTCCTGTGTCCTTCCTCCCTCCCTCCCTCCCTTCCCTCCCTCCCACCCTACCTTCCTCCTCCCTTCCCTCCCCCCCCTCCCTCCCGTCCCTCCCTCCCTCCTCCTCTCCTTCCCAACTCCCTCCCTCCTCCTCTCCTTCCCAACTCCCTCCCTCCTCCTCTCCTTCCCAACTCCCTCCCTGCAGACTCTCCGCAAGGCGAGCAGCGGGGGCAGCTGACGGGGAGGGAGGCGGCGGTGATAGTGTGGCGGGGCAGGCGCAACGTGGGGCTCATGCTGTCCAAGGTCGAGTCAAACCAGATGCTGCAGTGGCTCGATCTCCCTGCCTATGCCGGGGATGATGACACCGCTGCTGCCGCCAGTGCTGCCGGTGACGCTGCTGCTGGTGATGCTGCTGCTGCTGGTGATGCTGCTGCTGCTGGTGATGCTGCTGCTGCTGGTGATGCTGCTGCTGCTGGTGATGCTGCTGCTGCTGGTGATGCTGTTGCTGATGATGCCGGTGTTGCTGATGATGCCGGTGTTGCTGATAATGCCGGTGCTGCTGGTTCTGCTGCTGCTGCAGCAGCTGATGGCAGTGCTGATGGGGCGAAGGGTTGACCTTGAGGCCTTGGGATGCGGTCAAGTGTGTAACTGTAGCATGTGTTGGTTGTTAGTTACACACTTGAAGGATGTTTTACTTAGTAGAACCATGCCATGCCCCCCCCAATCTCTTGGTGCGTACACTAACATGCATGGAAGATGCGTCCACTCTATGGATAGTGTGCTATTTCCTTACATCTTGTCTGCAATTCATCTGTGCTCCCGCTGTCTGGGTGGCTGGACAGTGCTTGGTTGGGTCTGCAAGTGAGGAGTGATGCGCTGCACTGGCAATGAAGTGAAAGCAGCAGGATATTAAATTTTGTGAGGCGTTTTAGTCAGGCACAGCATGAGAGGGATGTGTGTGTCCTAAAAAGGCTGGAGAGGTATTTTGGGCGAGATACCGGTAGTTGGTCATTACAAAATGATCGTATAAAGGAAAAAACTATGTATCATTCCACTTCCCACGATTATGGGAGGCATAATTGAGTCACTATCTGCTTATTACAAAGATCCCCTCCAACTCAAAATTATAAATTCCACACTAGTAACGGGTCACGGAAATCGCCAAAATATAGCGAAGCTTTCCACAGCAACATCTGCCCTCAGTAACCAGCTCGGCTTGGCGGAATGAAAACACCCGTGCCCGTCGTATCTTTCGGAGCCAAGTACCTGGGCGGAAAGTACGCGCGCGGGCAGTTGGCCACGGGCGCCTGAACCGCCACGGGGAGGTGCTGCCGCTGCTGCGACCCTTCCGCCATCTGCTGCAGCTGCAGCTGCACCTGAAGCCGGAGGGGGAGCTGCACGCCAGGGGGAAGCGTCACCGCGGGAGCCTGCGGGTGTCCCCAGAACCCAAGCGGGGGGATGATCACACCCGCGGGCTTCTGCGCTTGCCCTCTTTTGCAAGCACTCGTCGCCTCCCCGGACGTTCCGCTTGCGCTGTTTGCGCCGCGCGCGGCGGCGCTTCTGTCTTGCGCGCAAAGGCCAATGGGGGGATACTGCGCGGGGAATGCGCCTGGGTAGGGCCAGTACATGGGGAACGCGCCAGCGCCACCTGATACCGCGAAGCAATAAGGGGACGGAGAGGCAGCCCCGTGGGGGAAACTTTGCGCAGCCTGCGCGGAGTGTTGCCCGTTGCTGTTGAGTGAACCGTTCCGCGCGGCGATGGGCGCGGTACTAACGGGGGAAGCGGCGGCGGGAGTGAAAGCCTGCCGATCATCGGGAAGCTGCGATTGGTTGCCGTCCTGCCACGTGGATGGCCCAGCGCCAGCAGCAAGATTCGCGGGGACCTTCGACGACTCGTCGTTTCCAGCCTCGGGCCATAGGGCACGTCGGATCGCACGACCTTGCGACAAATGAGGGGTCGCACGGGCAGGCGACAGCACGGAGAGCGGCGACAGGCTCCCGGACGCCGTCGAATGCGGCGAGCACAGGAAGTCGTCGTCGCTCGCCGCGTCGCTCGATTCGCTTAACGACGAGGGGAAGCACCAGCCGTCGCTGCCAATCCTTGACGAAGCCGCGTCATGCGCCTCCGCCTCCCCCTCGCTATAATCAACATCGTCTGTGCCCGCGCTGAGCGACGGGGATTCGCTGCTGCACGTCGGCACGTTGACACGAAGGCCGAAACCGGAGGTGGCGAGCAGCGGCGGCGGCGAGAAGAACGGCGTAGAGCTGCTGGGTATACTCCCGGAGGGCGCGGTGGTGCTGCTGACGAATCCACAGCTAGCCATGAAGCTCTCATCCACACTGTCAAGCGCTCCAACCAGAAGCTCGCGCGAGGTTAGAAGGGATTCATCAACCTCGCCTGTAGGCACTCCATAGAAACTCTCCTGAACAAACGAACTGGGTGACATCGTGCGCGGGTTGACGACTTGGAGACGAAATCCCGCTGTTTGTAGCTTGTTTGATGCTGGTAGTTGGCAGGGTTGGCCTGAGATGATTGGATGTTGGTGAGGCGAGATAAAAAGAGGTGTGCAGTCACTCGGACAAGCGTTTGACAAGCAGATTGACAGGTCAGTGGGCTAGGAGGAATTCCTCGTAAATCTCGATAGTGCGCGCTGTGGGGTGGTTCGAGGTTTGACGTGCGGAGGACTGGAGAAACGCGCGTGAGTGCTGGGTTGAGGTGTCGAGAGGAGGAAACTGAAGGACGAGAAAACCGAAGAACGAAGCAAGTGAGACGAGGAAGGATGGAAATTGGCTCGAAGTTATAAGCGCAAGAGAGTGGTGCGGCTGACTCGCACATTTTCCACCAGCACCGGAGCGCGCATCCGTGCCCTGCGGGATCGCTCGGCGTGGGTTAGCTAGCTTGCTTGACTCTACATTGGCGTTCTGCCGAGGCAGTCGCATGCGGTGTGGCGAAGAGTTCGGCAACCAGCGAGGCTCCGTTCTCGTCGCGGACAACGACTATTGGTGCATGGAATTTGAGGTTGGGCTCGAGAAACAGTCGCCGGCATCGCATGTGACGTGATTCGGATTCGTGATTGGTTGTTCGAGTTCCCAACCAGAGTTTTTATGCGATCGCCAAGTCGATTTGAGACGCGTTCTCTGCACCCGGATTGGTTCAGCTGGCATGTGAAATTCGCAAGGCAACCGCAGCGCAAAAACTTTGCACTGTGCAACAGCACAGAATTCGCTGTACTCAAAAAGTACAGCCGACCAGTGAGCGAGCCCTCCTCTTGATCCCATCCCAAGCCGAGGGCCCCAGCCGGACTTCTGTGGAAGAGTGCCTGGTGTTGGGGCAGGGGGTGGGGGGGCTGGCTGGGTCCTGCAGGTAGGGTCTAGGGTGCATTGACGTCAGGTGCCGACAGAAGCGTGGGTTTGAATCGAAGCAACCACCTGCGCGCTGTCCGCTGGCCAATCCGTTGAAGAGAACCGCGAACATTCAACAGCCAAGATGTATCCGATTGGTGGGTCCAAAGGGAACGCGTTCTTCCAGGAGCGTTACCCGAAAACGCTTGATATGCTTCGATTGAGGACGAGAAGCCGTGCCTTATTACAATAACTTCGACTAATAGCAATATTGTGAGCTTCATTAAAAAGAGCCATCTACCGTATGCTCGAAACCCATTCCCCAACGTGCACTAAAATTCTTATGTCCACCCCACATACTATACATTATCAATGCAGCCGACATGGGATATCAACTGCCTAAAAAGGGGACGGACTCAGTGAAACCAACAATTTACTATGAGACATTTGTCAGCAATGCTATATAAGCCAGTAGAGCCTCCTCCCCCCAGTAAAACAGAACTAAGAGCGTGTTCCTACTGTTGGGATAACCGAAAGGTTATCACAAGCATTCCCGAAGACTCTCCACTATCGCATCTCTTCATAGCGAAGCATGTGCTTGTACCAGTACCGCATGAGCTCGTATAGAGCACGCGGAAGTTCGAGGGTCACCCGAAGGTCAACAGTCGAAGACAGTCAACGGTCGTGACCCTTGACTGCCCAGTAACCGCACAAGGCAGTTGTGAAATACAACATGGTAACTGTCTAGAACGGCAATAGTCGCGGGTCACTGTAGCAATGCAATTCAGTTAATAAGGGAATGTACCCCTCAGAGTACATGGCTAGCTAGGATTGCTATTTATATCCTTGTACTTGTATCTTATAATCATCTTGTTCTCTTTCAACTTATTAACAAGGTCATCACAGAGACTTCACAGTTCTCTCCTATACTTAGCAAACTTATCCTGTCCACTACGATTCGTAGTTGTAACATCATGGTATGAGAGCTAGAATGGATTATAAGGCCTGCTAAGTTCTTGTTCTTGCTAGAACAAACTCCTTATAAATTATTCTCTACAACATCAAAGACTCTGCATCACTATGGCTCCAGAAGGGAAAGCCACTGCAGAATCTCCGGGCCCACCATCAGCAACACCCACTGCACCATCAGCGGTGACCTCCGTCAGCGCCGCTCTCGTTGAGCAGCTGGTCGCCCGCATCAATGCTCTTGAAAGCCATCAAGCCATGAGCATCGATGGCTCAAGCTTCGCACGTGGGGTTGCCGGACTTCCTCTTCCTGGAGAAGACCGCCGCGTCAACTCTGAGAGATCATTCACGTTCGACAACCGTCAAGCTTCAGCTCCTGCGCAAGACAGTCAACAACGCGCACACGCAGATACGATTTCAGCAATACATACGAAATTCGTTCTGACATCAAAGCTGAAGACATCAGTTCCTTTCAACGGAAAGGACTTCTACACTTGGAGCTTCGAGTTTGAGCTCCTCGCTACAAACGCGCAAATTTGGATGTACTACGACGGGAGCTTACCGTTTCCAACGGAAGGCACCATCCAAGAGAAGAATCAATACTACCACGAATCTCTTCTCGCGTACACCACTCTGCTCCGAAATCTCTCCCCTGACGAACAGCTCGGCATTCGCTCCTACAAATCAGAGTGGGCACCCGCGTATGCCTCCTGGGAGCACCTGCGCAACTCATACATGGCAACATATCCAGTTACAATGAGTCGCCTTCTCAGCCAGCTCACATAAGTCAAAATGCATCAAGGAGAGAAAGCGGGACCGTACATCAACCGGTGCCGCAATCTGCGCGACCACATCAAGAAGTGCGGAGGATCCGTTCCCGACGACATGTTCGTCTCAATGCTTCTTTCTGGCCTTGGTCCCGACTGGCGTCAATGCCAATCCTTACTCCGCGCTCGAGCAACCGTTTCGGAATCAGCTCTGTGCGCCACGCTCCTCTCAGAACAAAAGGAGATCGACCTGTACAACGAGAAAAACACAAAACGAGAAAAGTTGGCCTTCTACGTCGGAGCATCTGAAGGGGAGCAGCACGGAAAGAAGGGGACTTTCTGCAAGTACTGCAAGAAGCCTGGGCACACTATCGATGGGTGCTACAAGCGAAAGGCAGCTGACGAAAGGCGCAACAACTCTTCAAACCCCTCTGCGCCTTCCGCCTCAACAACCACCGTCTCGCCTCCCTCTGTCGCAAGCATCTCGCAGACACCTGCACGCATCACAACCAAGGACAAAGGGAAGGGGACAATCATGAGCTGCATGGCTCGCCGCAACAGAGGTTTTCTATACTATGATCGAGTAACATTTGCACTTGATGATCCTATCAACCCTGTTGCGCCCAGGCAGGACAACGACCCCACTGCTCCTACCTGGTACAACTTACAACAGAGGCACCCACCTGATTTTGAGCTGCCACCGCCAACACCGGAATCACCTCCCAGCATTTCGGCGAACCGATACTTCGCTCTCTCGCCATACACCGGCGAAATAGATCGCGTCGTTACACCGAAGATCGCCAACATCGCGAGGCAAAGCCGCGAGAACATCAACATCTGGTACCTGGACAGTTGCTGCGGACAACACATGGTGGGATCGCCAACATTCATCACCAACTCCAAACGCATGCGACGACCCTGCGAGATTACAGTGGCAAACGACGGCACACTCAAAGCATACGACATAGGTGAGATCTTCCTTGAAGCTGACGACACTCACTTCACGATCCACATCGGCGACGTGCTCGTCGCTCCAGATCTACGATACAACCTGCTTTCCTCAGCTCAGCTCATGAGGTGCGGAGTCGACATTCGTAGCAACCGCAAGGACAAGACCTTCGAACTCTTCTACGGCAACACTTATATCGGCAAGGCCGTGGACAACGACGGAGTCTTCGTGCTTCAGTTCTCCGCTCAAGGCACCTCAGGAGACTCTCACCGTACCTTGCTGTTGAAGACAACCACTGCAGAAGCCCCAACCTGGTCGCATCCCACTGAGATGGATCTCGAACGACCCGCCTCGGACGGCCTCCTGCGACTGCGCACCATCCCGACCGCCTCGACCTCCAACCCAGCTGAAACCGGACCTGCATCAATGGAAGAAGACAGCGGAACGTCAGCATCTGCAGAACTATCCGCTAAAGGAAAAGAAAAGGTCGGAACCGAGCCAGTTAGCCCTGGCCCTGCACTCGGCCCCCTGGGAGAAGTTCTGACACCAGAGGAAGCAGCTGCAGAAGACCACGGCACCGTCTCAGCAACAGTAGCAAGCGGTGCCGCCGAAGGTGGCTGGAGCGCAGAAGGCGGTTGGGGCGAAGTAGCTGGCTGGAACGCCGGAGACAACCCTGGTGGCTGGGGAAACACCACTGGCGGAAGCGGGTGGGGCACTTCTGGAGGCCAATCGGAATTAGGGCAGGAAACCTCCCCGTATCCCGAAGCTCCGGGACTCCCTTCAGCCGAAACAGCGGAGTTCGATCCCTACTGGGCGACACGAGGCACCAGCTGGGGTGGCCCTCCTCTTCCGGACCAGTACGCCCCTGCCACACCAGAACCAATGGAAGAAGAGTCAGAGGAGCAGGAAGCAACTTACGAGTTCTTCGGCGAATCAGCGGAGCTGCCAGCACCTACCGAGGAACCGGAGCCACCCGTGCAAGGACCACAGGAGATTGAGGTCATCGGGGCCGAGTTCAGCTACTATCGAATCCCCATGAAGGGGCTCCCAGTCCGCGATTGGCCCAACCAGTGCCTACTTGTCATCGGAGACCGAGTCGACGCCGGCGACACCGACGACATCATCGGTATTCCACACGCGCTTCTGGAACAAAAGGCAATTCGCGCGTTCGCCGCCGACGCTGACAATGCCGCCGTGAAAGGACCTGAAGGGGAGGCAAACGACGAAGCAGCAAGACAGAAGTATTATCAGAAGACAGTGGGCTACCGTGCGGAACCTGAAATCTGGCATCAGCGGCTCGGACATCCTTCTCACACAACACTCAAGAACTCTCTGAAGGCTGGGGTCCTCGACAACGAAGCTCTACTCCTCCCACGAGGAGGCTTCCTCACCGCAAATTCCGATGACCCGACCTGCACCGTGTGCCCCACCGCGTCGCTCGCCCACAAGCCCTTCCCCGACCTACCACCAGGCTACGAACGTTACAAGCCGCTCGACAAAGTCTACAGCGACTTCATGTGCCTGACGAATGAAGGACTTGACGGCGAATACTACACACTGACCTTCATCGACGCCAGCACTCGCCACGTTTGGGCTGTCAACACAGACTGCAGATCACTCGCCTTCGAATGCTTCATCGCGTGGATGAAGCGAGCTGAACGACAATCGGGACTTAAACTGAAGAGCTGGCAAACGGACGGAGCTCTGGAGTTCTTCTCAGACGAGTTCAAGGAGCTCTTCCGGAAGAAGGGGATTGAACATCTGGTGTCCCTGCCCTACGCTCACGAGCAGCAAGGAGTAGCAGAACGGACAAACAGGAGCCTCGCCACCAGGATGAGGGCCCTGATGAAGCAGTCGGCCATTCCACCTCGTTACTGGCCGTTCGCCATGAACCATGCAGTCCGGCTGCACAACTTGTTGTCATCCCGAAGCCTCGAGAACAACAACTCTCCTTACAAGGCGTGGACGGGCAGAAAAGCAGACACGCGTCTACTTCGGGTGTTTGGCTGCATGGTACAGTACAGACCGCTCACAGCAAGGACCGGAAAGTTTGCTGACCGGGCTCGCTGGGGCATCCACCTCGGAATTGAAAAAGAATTCAAGGCGTGGATCGTGCTGGACTACGCGACACACGAAGTGACGAAATCACGTGACTGCATCTTCTACGAGAAGCTGACCCTGCCACTGTTCAACGAACACCGCGAAGCTGACACGGTTCCAGAGAGGGTTTTCGAGGGACACCGCAGCTTCGCCACTCCACACGATGAAGCTGACCTGGCAGAAGATATGGACGCAACAAATGTCAGCCAGTTTGACAGCGCACCCAACGTTCCCCTTACAAGCCCATTCCAAACTCCAAACTTCATCCCTCTACACCAACCTGACCCAGATGATACAACTCGCGAAGCTCACAACTTCAACAGCAACGCCCGCCAGTCACCAGATGCCGAGTTACCACCACCAAACACCTCGCAGGAATCCCTCCGCCCCGGCAACGACAGTGACGACGACGTGGTCGAAGTAACCAGCTTCCACGACTACGACCGTCTGCACTACGAAAAGACCAACGAAACTGGTCTCCGCATCCTCGGGCTCGCCGTCGCTGTTCGCCACTCCTCCCCCAAGGAACCCACCACTGTTCGCCAGGCTCTCTCCGGCCCCGACAGTGAGAAATGGAAGGCAGCCATGGCCAAGGAAACCGCGTCGCTCAAAAACCGTGGCACCTGGAAGCTGGTTCCCCGGACATCTGCGAAGGGGAGAAAAATTCTCAGCAGCCTGGTTCACCGCTGCCTGCTCCTTCTCCTTACACTGAGCAGCTAGGGAGTCTTACTGAGCGTCGTGAGCCTGCGTCGCGTCCTGTCTCACCTGTCTGTTCTGGTCGTTCCGGTCGTCGTGTTCCTCGTCCGCGTCTGCCGGCTGTCCCCGACACCCACCTCGTAGTCCGTCGTCCTTCCTCTCCTCCACAGCGTGTTCCTCTGCCGTCCCCTCCTGCGTCTTCTCTGCCTGTCGTTGCGGACCCCGAGTCTGACCGGTTTCGTGCTGAGCACCCTACTGTCACGCGTCTGCTAGCCACTGTTGTCACTGACCCGTCGTTTGAGTCTGCTGCTACGTCTGCCTTAGTTGCTGAGCTTGTTGACTTTGCTGCTGCCTGTCGTCTAGACTACGCCGCTAGTCTTGTTGCTGAGTCTGAGTCTGTCTGTCCTCCGTCCGTCGGGGGTGAGTGTGCTCTTGGCACGGACGTCCTTGAGGACAGGCAGGAGGACCTTGAGTGTCTTGCAGCCGCTGCGCCTCATCTCGTGTCCATGCTGCTTGCCCCTGAGGGAGACCCGGATGTTCCAGACATCCCGACCCCGCGCTCTTACGCTGAGGCGATCGCGGGTGAGTACTCCTCTCAGTGGCAGACAGCCATGGACGCAGAGATGGCATCCTGGAAGTCCACAGGCACCTACGTCGACGAGGTTCCCCCACCTGGGGCGAACATCGTCAGTGGCATGTGGATTTTCAGGGTGAAGCGGTCGCCAGGTTCTCCGCCTGCCTTCAAGGCGCATTACGTTGCACGAGGTTTCAGTCAGCGAGAGGGAGTAGACTTCTTCCAGACCTTCTCCCCCACCCCGAAGATGACCACTCTTCGGGTGCTGCTGCACGTTGCCGCTCAGCGTGACTACGAGCTTCACTCTCTTGACTTCAGCACAGCCTTCTTACAGGGCAGCCTGCACGAGGAGATCTGGCTGCGCCGCCCACCTGGCTTCACTGGGTCGTTCCCTCCTGGTACCCAGTGGAGCCTCAGGCGGCCGGTCTACGGTCTCCGCCAGGCGCCACGTGAGTGGCACGACACACTGAGGACGACACTTGCGGCTCTTGGGTTTGCTCCGTCGACTGCTGACCCGTCGCTGTTTCTACGCACCGACACTTCGCTGCCGCCGTTCTACATCCTCGTGTACGTCGACGACTTGGTCTTTGCCACTGCTGACACTGAGGCTCTCGCCCTGGTGAAGTCGGAGCTGCAGAAGAGACACACGTGCACAGACCTGGGTGAGCTGACAAGCTATCTTGGCTTGCGGATCACCCGGGACAGAGCACGCCGCACCATCACACTGACTCAGTCACACATGGTGCAGCAGGTCCTTCAGCGCTTCGGCTTCACCTGGTCCTCGGCACAGCACACTCCTCTGGCTACAGGTCACTCGCTCTCAGCTCCACCTTCGGACGAGTCCGTAGAGCCGAGTGGTCCTTACCCAGAGCTAGTGGGCTGCCTCATGTACCTGATGACCTGCACTCGTCCTGACCTTGCGTACCCTCTTGGCCTTCTGGCTCGCTACGTGGCTCCTGGTCGGCACCGAAAGGTGCACATGGATGCTGCTAAGAGGGTACTGCGCTACTTGTGCAGTACATCGGGCATGGGGCTCGTGCTTGGAGGACGGAGCGACGTTGTCCTCACTGGGCACTCAGACGCTTCTTGGGTTGACGACCAGGCTACGCAGCGGTCGTCGCAGGGTTACACCTTCAGCCTTGGCTCTGGTTCGGTTTCGTGGCGTTCTACACGCTCGTCTTCAGTTCTCAGCTCCAGTTGTGAGGCTGAGATCTACGCCACAGCCATGGCTGCACAGGAGTTACGCTGGCTCACCTACCTGCTGACCGACTTGGGAGAGCGGCCTCGTTCTCCTCCAGTGCTGTACGTCGACAACAAGGCAGCCATTGCCTTGTGTGAGGAGCACAGACTGGAGCACAGAACAAAGCACATCGCTCTGCGTTACTTCCTGGCTCGAGAGTTGCAGCAGCGTGGTCAGCTTCGTCTGCGTTACGTGGCCACTCGGGCCAACACTGCTGATATATTCACCAAGGCACTTCAGTCTGGTGATCATCAGCGTTTCTGCACCGTGCTAGGGCTTGTGCCCACTTTTCCTCACTTGCTGTAGGCTTTGCCTGTACTGTGATCCATATATATATACCTGCATGCTTGCTTTGCTAGGTAGAGATCACTGTGCTGTTTGTGTTGCATATATACCCCTGCATGTGAACTGGCCTTGTGGCCGCTTGCTTGTGCTCAGAATGCGTGGTGATCTTGAGATCCACCCTGAGCTTTGCTTTGCTTTGTTCTCTTGCTTGACCGGTCTTGTGACCTTTGGTTGTTCTTGCTATCCCCCACTTTGCCTATGGGGGTGTGTCAAACTATGTTTCTATGATTGTAGGCTGTAGTGGGGTAGCCTCTACTGAGTACAACACTTTAGGGTTAGACATTGCCCTACTTGTACTCATCCTTGCTTCCTAGTCAATCAATCCTGCCTATACTTCTGACAGTATCAGGATTGTACAGAATCAGCGCACCAATCATATCGCTCGCACAACATCGCTCGAACGTGGAGAATCCCCCGGGCACGGTTCCGGGGGATTCTCCACGTTCGACCTTGTGAAGTCTCTGTGATGACCTTGTTAATAAGTTGAAAGAGAACAAGATGATTATAAGATACAAGTACAAGGATATAAATAGCAATCCTAGCTAGCCATGTACTCTGAGGGGTACATTCCCTTATTAACTGAATTGCATTGCTACAGTGACCCGCGACTATTGCCGTTCTAGACAGTTACCATGTTGTATTTCGCAACTGCCTTGTGCGGTTACTGGGCAGTCAAGGGTCACGACCGTTGACTGTCTTCGACTGTTGACCTTCGGGTGACCCTCGAACTTCCGCGTGCTCTATACGAGCCCATGCGGTACTGGTACAAGCACCTGCTTTGCTATGAAGAGATGTGATAGTGGAGAGTCTTCGGGAATGCTTGTGATAACCTTTTGGTTATCCCAACACTCCCCTTCATTCCTGAAGGTGAGCCACGTGGGATTTCTTGGTGATCCCGCAGAGGTTGGCGCAGTGCTGGAACTGTTGACGTGGCAGTTTCTTTGTCAGAAAGTCGGCTGCCATGTCACCAGTCGGGCAGTACGTGAGCTTGACCTTGCCCTTGTCAATTTCGTCCTTCACGAAGAAGTAGCGAAGGGCGATGTGTTTCGTGCGATTCACGAAACCGGGTTTGTTTGCGATCTTGATCGCACTCTGGTTGTCGCAGAGTAACTTGAAGTGCCCGTTCATCGTTACTTTCGCTTCCTGCAGGAGCTCCATCAGGTACAGTCCTTCGCGAACAGCTGCGCTGGCGGCGATGAATTCTGCTTCGGCTGACGAAAGGGCAATGAGTTCCTGCTTTTGAGAGTTCCATGAGATGAGCCCAGCAAGTTGGAGTTGAAAAATGAATCCTGTGCGGGAGCGTCTGTTGTCAACATCTCCCGCGTGGTCAGCGTCTACGTAACCGTGCAGCTGCAGGGTGGCCGTTAAGTTAGCTTCGTAGGTGAGTCCGACGTCGGGAGTAGAGATGAAGTATTGGAGTGCACGGCGCAGATCCTGTAGATTCTCCCCTTCAGGTCGCTTCATGTACTGAGCGAGCTGGCTTGCGACGTAGGAAAGATCGGGCCGGCACGTGACGGTGGCAAAGAGAAGGCACCCGAGCTGCTGCTGATAGAGCCGATGATCTTTAAGAGAGAGAGGCAAGGTGTCGGCTTCGTGGTTAGGAGGAGGAGTGCGAAACGGGGTGGAGAGGTTGATTGGTGCGATGCCGAATTTCTTCGCGAGTATCTCGGCGTACTTGGCGGCGGAGAGGTGAATGGAGGAGGCAGACTGGGTGATGTTGAGTCCGAGGAATTGGGTGACGTCGTGGTTGATGGTGACTTCCAGCTGCTCCTTGATGTCTGCTTTGAACTGATCCAGTAGCTCCGTGTCGTCACCGGTGTAGAGGAGGTCGTCGACGTAGGCGACGAGGAGAATGAACTTGCCGCGCATACATTCCGAGGTCGTGTGGTAGCTGTTGGAAGCCGAGGTTTGTTAGCACCGTGTGGAGGTACTGCTGCCACAGGCGAGGTGCTTGCTTGATCCCGTAAAGGGATTTCTGGAGTAGGCAGACGGCGCCATCATTCTCTTCGAAGGCATGCGGCTGCTCGACGAAGATGATTGCGTCGACCGGAGCGTATAAGAATGCGCTGCCGACGTCGATCTGACGGAGAGGGCGCTGCTTGACGGCTGCGATGCAGATGAGAATTCGCACGGAGGTGTGCCGTCCGACTGGTGCGTAGGTGAGATCAAAGTCCACCATGTGTGTTTGCTCGAAGCCGCGCACCACCCAGCGCGCTTTGTATTTGTCGATGGAGCCGTCCGCCAGTGTCTTGATGCGGAACACCCATTTCCCGCAACGGAAGACCAGTAGACGAAGGGAGACTAAGAACCTGGCGAAGCACAGAGTCAGGAGGTGGCTGAGACGACGGAGACGGTGGAGCGAAGAACAGGCGCGGCTGTGCAGTGACACCAGCACCAGCAGCTCCAGTACCCCCAGTAGCTCCAGCACCTCCAGCAGCTCCAGAACCTCCAGCGCCAGCACCCTCAGCAGCTCCAGGACCTCCAGCTCCAGCGCCACCAGCGCCAGTACCTCCAGCAGCTACAGAACCTCCAGCGCCAGCACCCCCAGCAGCTCCAGAACCTCCAGCTCCAGGGCCACTTGCGCCAACACCTCCAGCAGCTCCAGAACCCTCAGCGCCAGCTCCTCCAGGACCAGCTCCACCAACAGCAGCACCCCCAGAACCAGCACCTCCAGTCCCAGGGTCTCCAGCCTCAGTGCCTCCAGCAGCAGCACCCTCAGACTCAGCACCTCCAGCCCCAGCAGCTCCAGTACCTCCAGTACGAGCACCTCCGGGACCAGCACCACTCCCAGCTCCAGTGACGACAGCAGAAGTACCTCCAGCGGCAGAGCCCCGAGCTCCAGAAGCGCGACCCTGACGGCGACCGTACCAGTCGTGCAGCTGCTGCGAGGTGAGAGGCACACGCGGACGAAGGCGGCTACTCCAAGGAAGCCGCGCAACAGCAGACTCAGAACCCTCAGCGCCAGCACCCTCAGCAGCTCCAGAACCTCCAGCGCCAGCGCCACCAGCGCCAGCACCCCCAGCAGCTCCAGAACCTCCAGCTCCAGCACCCTCAGCAGCTCCAGACCCTCCAGTAGAAACAACTCCAGTGGCAGAGTCACCAGCTCCAGCGACTCCCGCACCAGGGCCCGTAGCTCCAGCAGCGCGACCCTGACGGCCAGCGTACCACTCAAGCAGCTGCTGTGGGGAGAGAGGGAGTCGACTACGAGAGTGCAGCGGCGAGGCACCAGCGGAGCGACTACGGAGACGGCCGCTCCCGGGAGACTGCTCACCAGACGCCTCAGCACCCCCAGGCTCAGCACCCCCAGACTCCTCACACTCAGGCTCAGCACCTCCAGTCTCCGCACCCCCAGGCTCCGCACCCCCAGGCTCAGCACCCCCAGGCTCCGCACCCCCAGGCTCAGCACCCCCAGCAGCAGCACCACCCTCAGCAGCACCTGAGTCACCAGTGACCTCAACCTGAGAAGGAGGGTCTACCTGAGACACACCTGAAGGAGCAGGACCTGGAGCGGGAAGGGGGTCTACCTGGGGAGCACCTGGAGCGAGGAAGAGCGGCGGGGGGGGGAGAGGGGCAGTGCGGTAGGGGAAGAGACGGTAAAAGGGAACCGACTCGTCGAACGTGACGTCCTGAGAGGGGAAGACACGGCGTGAGGTGGGGTGGTAAAACTGCCAACCAGGCGCGTCAGGGACAAAGCCAAGGAAGACACAGGGAACAGCGCGGGCGGAGAGCTTGTCCGCGGTGGTATCGCGGACAAAGGCACGAGCACCCCAGACCCGGAAACGCGACGCATCGCCAACCTTCCCCGTCCACAGCAGTGTGGGCGAGGTCTCTGGCAAGGAGACACGGGGCCAGATGTTGAGCTGATGCGCGGCGTACCGGACCGCAAACGGCCACAGAAAATGGGGGGCAGCCGCATGGATCATGGAGGTACGAGCGACCTCCATGACTAAGCCAATGCGGCGCTCAGCAACCCCATTCTGCTGCGGAGAGGCCGGAAGCGTGAACGACTGGCGGATGCCGTGCTCCGCACAGTAGGCTGCCAAGAGGTCTGAGGAGAACTCACCACCTCTGTCAGAGTGCAGACGCAGGACAGGAAAGTCCGAGTGGAACCGCTCGCGGAGCTGGAGACGAGCAGCGCGGATCCAGGGGATCAAAACATCAGGGACCTCCCCCTTGCTGCGCAAGGGGGAGACCGTGGTGTAACGCGTGTAGTCGTCGACGACCAGCAGGAAGTACCGCTCGCGGCCCTGTCCACGGACGCGGGCTGGGCCCCACACGTCCAGGTGGAGAGTCTGCAAGGGAGCCTCTGTGGGAGGGAACGAGGAGGAGTGAGGAGCGGCGCACTGCCGCCCCTCGACACAAGGAATGCAAGGCGGCGCAGGCGAGGGAGGGAGGGCAGGCAGAGACTCAGGAAGGCCAGAGACCAGGTAGCGAGAGTGCATGCTACGAAGGCGCGGCACCGAGGGGTGACCAAGGCGGTGGTGCCAAAGGAGGGTCTGGTGCGACAGAGCGCGACACGAGCAGGGGGCCGCTAGCTGACCTGACGCAAACGCAGACGCAGACGCAACTACCTGAGGGGACACAGTGGTGAGTGTGTACAGACTCGAGCCAGGCTCTCGGGTGAACGTGGCCAGGTGCCAACCAGTCCGCGAACACGTACAGTGTGTCACACGCTGACCTCCAGGGGTGAACTGGTCAACCCACACATCCTGTAGGTCAGCTCCACTCACCAAGTTCGTAGAGAACGAGGGGAGGTGAAGACCTGACAGGGAGCCAGACGGGACCGCCGGACACGGCAGGACCGTGGAGGAGTGCGCAAGGACTGGACCCCCAGAGGGGTCTGCCAGGGAGACTGCAACTGGCCGACGGAGCGGCGTGAGTGTGGTGCTGTCACGAAAGAAGGAACGGGAAGCACCTGAGTCAAGTGTGAAGGTGTACACGGCCTCAGCAGGCGCAGTACCAGAGAGAGCAGACTCACCAGCACCTGGAGCAGCAGTCTCACCAGTACCTAGAGCAGGAGACGCACGAGCACCTAGAGCAGCAGCCTCACCAGCACCTAGCGCAGGAGACGCACTAGCACCTAGAGCAGCAGCCTCTATACCTGGGTCAGGCGGTACGCACAGGGAACAGGCACGGTCATCCATACATGGCAGTGAGAATAGCATCATAGTCAAGAGCAAAGATATCGACCCCCTGCCCAAGCAGCTCCAGCCAGGTGGGGACCTCAGCCTCGTCACCAAACTCTGTGCGCCAGGCGTCGCTCAGACGGGCGAAGCAGCGGGACTGGGTGTGACCAAGTGTCCCGCAAGCCTGACCAGACCGATCACCTGTGCGTGGGACGTACGGGCAACGAACGGTACTCCGAGATCCTCGACTCTGAGCGTACCACTCGTGAAGCTGCCGGGACGTAAGTGTCTCGCGCGGACGCCGCTGCAGCTGCAGCTGGCCACTGCCAGACGCTCCCGACCGACCAGCTCCAGGGCGACAGTCACGACGGCTACCGCCACAACCCCAACTAGCGTACCACTCACGAAGCTGCTGAGGCGTGAGAGACTCGCGCGGGCGTCGCTGGAGCTGCATCTGGCCACCTCCAGTAGCAACAGTAGCAACAGTAGCAGCAGTAGTAGCAGTAACAGCCGTAGCAGCAGTAACAGCCATAGTACGGGCAGGGCAGGCGCGACAGGCAGGCAGGCAGGTAGGCAGGCAGGCAGGCAGGCCGGCTGGCAGGCAGGCAGGCAGGCGGCGCGGCAGCGCGCTAGCAAGGCAGGGGCTCACCAGTGGCGGGGAGAGCAGGCTCTCACCGGGCGAGCAGGGCCGGGGCTCGGCGGACGGCGGCAGGGTCGGCGCACGACGGCGGCGACAGCGGGGCCGCAGCAGCGGCTACAGTGAGGGGCCGGGTCGAGCCAGCGGTAGGGCGGGGCCGGGTCGTGTCAGCGGCAGAGCCGGGTCGAGTCAGCGGCAGGGCGGGGCCGTGTCGGCGGTAGGGCGGGGCCGGGTCGTGTCAGCGGCGGGGCCGGGTCGTGTCAGCGGCAGGGTGGGGCCATGTCGGCGGCAGGGCGAGGCCGTGGCGGCGGTAGGGTGGCGCGCGCCGCTGCCTGGGGCCGCGCACTGGCGGGTAGAGCGCGGCGCGGGCCGCGCGGACGGCGCGCAGCGCGCTGCGGGCCGCGGACGCGCCGCGCGGGCTTCGGGCGAGCTGCGCGGGGCAGCGGCGGGCCGCACGCGCGCTGCGCGGGCTCGGTGCGGGCCGCGCGGGGCAGGTGTGGGCCGCGCGCGCGTCGCGCGGGCTCGGGGCGGGCTGCGCGGGGCAGCTGCGGGCCGCGCGCGCGCTGCGCTGGCTCGACGCGGACTGCGCGGGCCGTGCGCGTGACGCGACGCGGCTGCCGAGGCGCGATTCGGGCAGGAGAGGGTAAAAACGAGGCAGCGCTTGAAAATTAGGTCTGCGCGCGAAGCAGCAGCAGACAGCTCAGACAGTAGACTGCAGACAGTAGGCAGACAGTGCGCGCAGTGCAGCACGTCCTAGGTACAGTGACAGGCACATTCGTGGGGTAGCGGTAGGTGGGCCCGAAAAAAAAGACGGTCCTACGGACCTATTGCTCTGAAACCATGTCAGAAGTATAGGCAGGAATGATTGACTAGGAAGCAAGGATGAGTACAAGAAGGGCAATGTCTAACCCTAAAGTGTTGTACTCAGTAGAGGCTACCCCACTACAGCCTACAATCATAGAAACATAGTTTGACAGATACGAGGTGTTTTATAACGTGAAGTTCGAGAATTTTCATTACTGATATGAGGTTAGCCCGTAGGAACACGCTCTAACGCATCTAACATAATACTGGACCATGTGCATTCTGATAAAGCTAGTGCATCATTTATTGACGCACGCTGTAGATGACTGCACACAACCTTCTCACTACATCTCACAACTACTGCCTTCAAAGTTTATGTGGACATCCCAGGGAAAAGATCCAGGGATACCCCAAGTGAACTTCTACCCAATACGCATCAAGTGCCTGAACCGCCCACCAAACACTACCAAAAAACATTATTACCAAACCAGGCGCTATCTCCTAGAAGATCGATGGCTCCAGGAGCAGGTGGGTGTAGAGCATATCAACCCAAGTGTCGGGAACCCCCGGCAAGCACCAGTGCGTACAGTCCCCACTGAACGGCGATTCCCCTTGCCCTCCAGGAGACTTGCTGCCCTTGTTCTCCCTCTGCTCGTGCCAAGGGCCTAAGTGCCCATCGGGTCGCACCGAACTCAAATCAGTTAGCTGGATAAACCGAATGGGTGTACCAGAGAGTGTAGACTTCTGCGCATCCCTGTACTCGTTCGCAGTATCGACAGAATATGAGTACTTTTTCGTGCTGCTGATGGGATACCAGGCTCCACAGGCCCCAACCCAGCCTGCATGGGTCCCCCTCCCAAGCATCACTCCTTTCTGCGGATTCCCTTTTGCACCTGAGTGGTTCGGCGAGAACGAGAGAAACATTGGCACGCCGCGGAAATTCGAGTTTTTGATGGAGTTGACCACGGTGGAGAGCCCCCATTGGTGCGCGGCAATATTCGAAAGGTTCCGCTCCTGCCCGTTCACGAGGAAAATATTTGGCTGCGTGCGGCGCGGGACGTTCTGCAGCCACCAGACCCCTGAGGCAAAGACCACAACGTCGTACTTCCCAAGAACGGACTCCAACCCCGGGTCCATCTTATCAACATTGACTTCGAATGCGTGGCCGCCGCGCTTGGCGGAGACGGTGGTCTGGCGCTTGGAGTAGACGATGTACTGCGAGTTGTAGTACTCGAGGGAGAAGGAGAAGGCCGGGAAGCGCATGCCCTTGATGCCGCTCGACATGCCGATGTCCACCGTGTACGGCTGGGGGAGGGGGGAGGGAGGGAGGGAGGGGGGGAGGTTGTGGTTGAACAGGGCAGGGAGTGGAGGGGGAATCACACACCACAATGTCATCAGGTGACGTGACGTTGCCTCCCACCTTGCACTCTTAAGGAAAAGGGGGAACAAGGCTACGACTTCTAACCCAAGCGCAAGCCCTCTCACACCCCGCCCCTCACCCAACATTCGTCACAACATATAATAACGGCTCACCTGGCCGCTGAACCCGCCCGTGTGAATGGCGCACAGCAGCGCCTCATGGAAGTTGGACATCATGGAGTCGCCCACCAGCAGCATTTTCTGCACCACGCACGCAAAACCGAAGGAGAGGGGGGGACGGGGGGTGTGGGGAGGGGAGAGGGGGTGTGGGTTGTGGGGAGAGGCGGCAGGGGAAACGGAGAGAATGGGGGTGTTGCCAGTGAGATGTGAGACGCGCCTCGCCGCTTAGGGGTTGGACATAATAAAGTCGGTCGACCATCAGCAGCATTTTCTGCGCCAAGGTTTTCGAGTAATGGAGGGACAGCAGGGACAGCAGGGGAAGCGCAGGGGAGTGAGTGTGTGAGAGGTGCGCAGCGGCGCGTGGAAGGCGAACATTATGGAGTCGCCCTCCCGCCAGCAGCACTTTCTGCATGGGGGGACCGACCGGCGCAGGGGGGGAACGGGGGAGCGCGGATGGGCCGAGAGAGGCAGGAAGAGAGAGGGGCAGGAAGAGAGAGGGGCAGGAAGAGAGAGGGGCAGGAAGAGAGAGGGGCAGGAAGAGAGTGGGGCAGGAAGAGAGTGGGGCAGGAAGAGAGTGGGGCAGGAAGAGAGTGGGGCAGGAAGAGAGTGGGGCAGGAAGAGAGTGGGGCAGGAAGAGAGTGGGGCAGGAAGAGAGTGGGGCAGGAAGAGAGTGGGGCAGGAAGAGAGTGGGGCTGGGAGTTGGATTTCACCATGGTGTCAAGAAGAGAGCTGTGCTGTCAGAGCGGCGCTTCCGCCAGCAGCTTGTGGCGCACAGCTTGGCGTCGCCCTCCATTTGCAGAATTCTACAACGTGAAGCGGCGTACTTAGTACAACCGCGCGCGCATTGTACGGCCGCGCGCGCATGTCGTACAGCCATGCTGTCCGCGCGCGCATCGTACAGCGGAGCACGCATTGCAAAACCGCCGCATCGCACAAGCGCGCGCGCGTATCGTGCAGCCACGCTGATGCACTGTCGAGCGTCGTCAGACACTGCCTTTGACTGCATGTGTCTGCTATTAATTGGCTTTTTTTTTTGTTTTTTGCTATTTGCCATTACCCATTTTTTCTGGAAAGAACCGGGTGAAACGGGTTGCACAGGAGGCTCTCAATTGCAAGTTAAACCGATGTTCGCAATGTCCCTGATTCGCCCCTCACCTTGTTCTTCATTATGTACTTGAAACCCGACGGGCTGAAGTACGACAGCGAGCACCCGTAAGGCTGCCACCTGAACAGCTTGTAATGCCAGTCGGGCCGGTTGTTACGCTCGCACGAGTACTCGCTCCGTACGTACGGGCACTTGACTCGCTTCTGGCCATCCGTCGTCGTGTAGCGCGGGAAGCGCTTGCCGCCTCGCATCCATAACCCCTTGGAATAATCGCACTTGGCTGGACACACGCGACGAACATTATTATGTATCACGGACGAGAGGGGGAACAGAACAGCCTCGAAACGAGTTAAGACATGGTGGGCGGCATTCACTGTTAAAGAGTAGCGATGGCGGTCGCAACGGTTTGGCGATCAGCGGGTTAATGATTCCCGACGTGCTTTTGAGACGGCTGAACATGTGAGGAAGTAAAAAAGAAAAAGCAACAACAACAAACAAACAAAGGAGTGCAAGCGTAAGACTTGCGACCACTTACCGCTCCTTGGTGGGGGCGCGAGACCCGCCGCACTGTTGATGAGGGTTATCAGTAGCAAGAGCTGCACTAGCGGGGCCGTCACAATGAAACGCCGATGGTTCCCAGTCGGAACCATATTTCTCCGCGAGTACTCGCGGTCGCACGCTCCCGCTAACGGAAGTTCGTGCGGCTCTTGACGTGAGCTGACAGCTGTGACACACGTAGTGCGACGTTTGATGCCCAGGAGCGCAGATGTGGAGTGGAAGACGAGGCTCGATGTGTGGAGGGTATGGGACGGGGTGCGCGTGAGAGTGACGCAATTATGTTCAAACTTCAATAGCCCTCCTAGTTATGGGTTGGTTGGAGGAAGGTGTGGTGTGGGTGGGTGGGGGAGGAGGGAAAGAAATGGCATTGGGCTGGGTGAACTTGGCTGGCTGGGGCGGCTAGTTTGGGCAGCGGCCTGGCCTATGGGGAGTCTTGGTCAACCAGCAGACTACGCCGGGACCGGGACCGGGAACAAACAGCAGCTGTCGCACAAGCTAGGCTGGGTCGCAGCTGCCGCACACACTCTCCAGGTGTTGCTGATTTGGTGGAGTGGCGGCTTCGCGACGTCAACAGAGCACTTCACGCGCCTCGTCTCAATATTCACCAATTTCTGTGGTGTGCTTTTGGGCCACGAGTTTGTAACACTCGCCGCAATCCCATCACCTTTGACCGCACGACTCGGAGATGACCAACCCTTGACAGCTGGGCGGCTGTACAGCATTCGATGTGCTTCGGTGACGAATCGTGAGTTATGACAACACCGCGGACAAAGTTATAATGAAATTGTCCTAAACGCACCCGAATTGCCACATCATCTAAAGACATAAAGGGCATGCTAGATAACTTATATCTACCTTCTGATAATATTCATTAAGTTTAGGCGATTGCTCGGTACGCGGCATTACATTGCAAACAATATTCGCCCCCCTCAAGGATGTGACATTGCTAAGCTATTAATCAAAAGTTCAGCCGATCTAGGCTGGCCAGCTGCACCTGCCGGTTCGCCTTGGTGGGTTTGGAGTGCTGGCTGAGGATTGGCGCTGGCTGTGCGCGGCATTGCACGGTTGTGGGTAGCGGGGGATGATGTGAAGTTCGCCGACTAGCACAGCGGATGGGGTGAAATTTCTTGGACCGTGGTTCTCCAGGAGCCTATAGCAGCTGCCGTGATGACGCTGTACGGTATGAAATGCCGTCATGAGAACTGAGTGCACATCTCCCATCCTAAACATACCCCAAACAGCCCCTATGGCTCATACTTTCTAGGAAAACCAGCTGCAATGCCTATCGAGAGCCCACTGGGCGAAGTGGAGCGGTTGGGTGCGCGGGGAGAGGGGTGCAGAGGTTTGCGGCGGGCTGCGTCCGCTTTGGCTAGGCCCACAAGGTCAGGAGGCTTGGCTGCCACTAGCAGTACAATCCCAAAGAGAATCAAGCCCCTGTGTGAGGAACCAGGGTTGGAAAGACGGATACGGGAAAATACAGAGAATGGGAGGGATGGGAAGGATTGGAGGGATGGGTGAGGGGAACGGAAAAGGGGGTCTAGCTGAGAGTGTGATGGAGAGCTGTTGAACTCTCTCTCATGCAATAAAGATGAGGTGGGAATTGGACGGTGTCAGAAGAGATTCAGGAAAGTGCGAATGGAGAAGGCAAATGCAGAGAGAAGGAGCGGGAGGTGACATGAATGTTGAAACACTTTGCACTGCACAGTCACTCACAGGAGCACATCCAGGGTCTGCTAAGGGGTTTCATCCCATCTCCCAGACGGTTCATCCAAGCTCAAATTCAACATATTCAACAAGAATCGACAAAGCCACAATCAGTTGATCCGAAAGCCGAGCTCACCAGCCACGGAAGCGCCACATGCGCAGGCGTGCATTGGTTTGAGACGACCCAACCTCTGAGAATAGCACTTTTCAGAAGAAAAGAAAGCACCCCGTATAGTCAAGCTCACCAGCTAAGGAAGCTATTTCGGAGGTGCCTCTGAATTTTAGGTGATTTTTTAGGCGCCTCAAGGTTTTGGGGATTTTTTTAGGCGCCTCTAGAAGAGGAAAGGAAAGCACCCGTGGTAGTCAAGCTCACCAGCCGAGGAAGCGCCACATGCGCAGGGGTGCACTGGCAGGGAGGTCCTCCCCCAGGCCTGCCATGCCTGCTGCTACAGCCGTGAGCATGGCTGCTACAGCCGCACATGTGGACACCACCACTGCTCGCCCCTCCTTGAAACCCCGCGTCTGATGGGGGCAGGAAGGGGGGGGAAGGGGTTGGTTTGTGGGGGGAGAGAGCGTGAGGGGTTGAGGGCAGGGAGGTTCTCCCCAAAGGGAGGGGAGTGGATGCCATGCCTGCTGCTACCGCTGCACATGTCACCACTGAACGCCCCTCCTTAAAGCCCCGCGTCTGATGGGGGAGGGGATGGCGGGAAGGAAGGGGTGTGATGGGTTGAGGGAAGAGAGCGGACAAGTGTGCGGAGATGTGCAAGTACTAGCCACATGACATACCCCACCGCACGCCATACCCCCTCACTAACCTGGCAGAAAAACCCGAAGCTGCTGAGACTGACGCCGACGGCAATCCCAAGGAGAGCAAAGACGGGCGGGCCTCCTGTGGCCAGCAGCATGCCTGTCTTCACTGCTGCTGCTGACAGCCTGGTGTGCGGTGAAGGATAATGCAGGGCGGACAGGGAGACGGCATGGAGCAGGGTGGCGCAGGGGGAGCAGAAGAGGCAGGGTTTAGGGCAAGGGGAGGGTAGTTGAAGCAAGCAGCAATATAGATCCAGTGTAGTGTAGCTTCAATACCACACAGCTTGTATCACTTCACACGCATTTCCATTGCAGAATGCCGGACGAGGCTAAGCAGGGAAAGAGAGCAATGGAAGCAATCAAAGTGGGTGGGGAGTAGCCCGTACCCAAAAAAGGCCCCAGCTTGGGTCCCTGCTGCTAGCTCCTCCACCACATCCCCACGGGGGCCCCTAGCATGGTACTGCAAGAACCCATCTGCACCGCATCGCATACCCCCCCAAATGCGTCATTCTTCCCCCGTCCCCCCCACTCTCAATGGGGTACACCTACCCAAAGAAGGCCCCGGCTTGGGTCCCTGCTGCTAGCTCCTCCACCACATCCGCTCCTAGCGCACCCTGCTGGACAGAATGGTGGTAAGGGCATGATGATGGCACGAGGGCACGAGCGAGAGCCTGAGAGTTCCCCCCCGTCCAGGCAGGCTACCCAAAGAGGGCACCCGCTTGTGTCCCTGCTGCTAGTTCCTCCACCACATCCGCTCCTAGCGCACCCTGCTGTGCAGGACCGTGGCATGTGCGGCATGATGGCATGGTGGCATGGCATGATGGCATGGCATGTAATGGAGACATGTGAGTCAAGTCAATTGGTGCTTTGGGACAAAAGAGGGGGGATGCTGAGTGCTGAGATGTCTCAAAGCATGTTAAGGTGACACCAGAAAATGGGTGATTCACAAAATGAGTAAAGGGTATGCCATGCTGCGGCCATTCATGCTGCATGTTCTGCATGGTCTGCATTGTATCAAGTCTGAATGATGAGAGAGTCAAAACGATTGCAGGGGTAATGGAAGGATGGGAAAAGAGAAGGATTTGGAGAGGTGGAGTGAGGTCCAGGGGTGTGATATGGGAGTGTGAAAGGTTGTGACGGGAGACCGGAAGCAGGTGGAGTGGATGCGAGGCATACACAGGGGAGAGGAGGGTCCTTGATCTTTCGCTTGGCCTTGCTTGCTGTGGCACACCATTCTAGCACTACCTGCCATGCATACACACATGCACACATGCACACACTCATGCACACACGTCCATGTACACACATGCACACACTCATGCACACACGTCCATGTACACACATGCACATATGCATGCGCACACGTTCATGTACACACATGCACATATGCATGCGCACATGTACGAATACACATGCACACGCACGCATTCACACACAGGCAAACAAGCACATCACACACGCACAAGCACACATGCGCATCCGCACATGCACACACACAGACGGATGGGGGAAAGGATGTCACAGTTGAGAAGAAAGATTCTTGGCTGGCGGATGGCACGAGGGAAATTCACACAATGAAACGCAGAGATAGATAACAGCAGAGGAGAGCAGAGGAGAGCAGAGGAGAGCAGAGGAGAGCAGAGGAGAGCAGAGGAGAGCAGAGGAGAGCAGAGGGGAGCAGAGGAGAGCAGAGGAGAGCAGAAGGGAGCAGAGGAAAGGAGAGGAAAGCAGAGGGGAGCAGAGGAAAGGAGAGGAAAGCAGAGGGGAGCAGAGGAAAGGAGAGGAAAGCAGAGGGGAGCAGAGGAAAGGAGAGGAAAGCAGAGAGGAGCAGAGGAAAGGAGAGGAGAGGAGAGGAGAGGAGAGCAGAGGAGAGCAGAGGGGAGCAGAGGAGGGCAGAGGAGCGAAGAGGGGAGCAGAAAAGAGAGGAGGAAACGCAAGATGTGGGGGTGAGGGCATATGTCACCATGCCCCGTTCTCACCATGCGCCCCTCTCACCATGCGCCCCTCTCACCATGCGCCCCTCTCACCATGCGCCCCTCTCACCATATGCCCCTCTCACCATACGCCCCTCTCACCATACGCCCCTCTCACCATACGCCCCTCTCACCATACGCCCCTCTCACCATACGCCCCTCTCACCATACGCCCCTCTCACCAGGAGCAGAACGACCCAGAAGACAAAGGCCATGAGATGGCGCAGGGAGAGCTGAGGCGGCGGGGCGGATGGCAAGGGGTCCTCGGAGGACACTCCCACCGCTGGGGTGGACGTGAAGTGGTGGGGGGGGAGAGGGGGGGGAGAGGGGGGGCGAGGGGGGGAGAGAGGGGGAGAGGGGGAGAGGGGGGACACTTTTGAGAATTCTGGGGACGGCAAGGAGTCCTCAGAAGAGGACACTTCCACCGCTGGGGTGAATGAGAGGGAGTGAAGGGGTCGGAAAGGGGGGCGTAGGGAGTAATAAGGGGGTGTAAAGAAGGAGAGCTGGGGAGGCGGGGCGGAGCGGATGGTAACGAAAGAACAGAGCAAGAAAGAAAAGGACTGGAGACTGAAGGAAGGACAGGAATCTGGAATGCGAACATTGAATTGACAATGCACAAACGCCTGTTCGTCCGTCCGTGGACTCCGTGCAGCATTGAATTGAAGTATTGAGCAGCCGCTCATTGCAGTGCACTGTGTAAGGACTAAAAGAAACGCAGCAGTGAAACAGCAATGCATTGTGCTTTGCGTCTCCAATGGAATGAAACAAAGCAATGCTCTGTGCGTGCTCAAACCTTGCTGCTTCCACGCCTCACAGTGTAAGCCTTCTCCGATTTAGCTTCCAACCGGCCCCCACCATCCCCCCCCCCCCCACCATCCCCCAATAACCTAACCCCCACCCAAGTCCGAATCAGGCCGCCAACCTCCCTCACGCACGCCCCACAGTCCCTCACGGACAGTGCCGTCCCGTCCGGAGCATTCAGATCAGGATCGTGGTGCTGACTCCTGAGCAGCATCCAGTGCAGCGATGCCTCAAGCGCTCTTGTTCCTTCAAGGATGCCTCACCCTTTCAGGGATGCCGGCTGTGTGGGATTTCTCCACTCGCGACTTCACGCTAACCCAGCTAGACCCCCACCCCACGGTTACCCAACTCAGCACCCCAGGGTCGCTCACCGACGGTGCCGAGGATGCAGAGTAGAATGCCGGTCCAGTCGGCGAGGCGCATGGGCTCGTGCAGGTAGAGGTGCGAGAAGAGCGCCATGAGGGCCAGGCCGGACGTTGACACCGGCTGCACTATGGACACCTGTGGAATAGAGGGGGGAGGTGGGGCGGGGAAGAAGGGGGCAGACTAGTGGGGAGATGGGTGGGTGGGAGGATGGGCACGGGGAGAAGAACGGGTTGGGGACGAGATCGGGGGGGGTGGGGAGGGGGGGGGGAAGGAGATGGGAGGTTAGATGGGGGGAGATGGAGGGAGATGGGGTGTTAGATAGGGGGGAATGGGGGGAGAGATGGGTCATTGAAAGGAGTGTATGGGCACTGTAGGTGAGAAGAAGTGGGAAGCGGAGAGAAGGGGGAGGAGCAGGAGATTAGATAGGAAGACGAGCAGAGCAGCAGAAGTGCAACAGGATTGATGCAGCAATGGGGGTTGGGGAGGAGAGGGGGGGTGGAATCCAGGAGGAGGGGTGATGTAAGCAGCATGACGAGTGAAACACACCACAGCCAAGCCAACCGCTCTAGATCCCCTGATTCCTCCCTCACTATCCTTCGATACATCAACCCTCACAATCAACCCTCCACTCCCCATCCTTCCACCCTGCTGCACCCATCCCTCTCTTGCCCTCTACCCCCCTTCCCTTTACCAACCCGCAACCTCTTCCCTCTACCCATATCCCCCCCCTCCCCCCTCTCCTCCCTCCCCCCTCCTCCCCCCTCTCCCCTCTCCCCTCTCCCCTCTCCCCTCTCCCCTACCCCCTCTCCCCTCCCCCCCTCTCCCCTCCCCCCTCTCCCCTCCCCCCTCTCCCCTCTCCCCTCTCTCCCCTCTTCCCCCACTCCCTTCTCCCCACTCCCCTCTCCCCTCCCCCTCCCCCTCCCCCTCTCCCCTCTCCCCCCCCCCCCCCCCTCTTCCCCCCCTCCCCCCTCCCCCCTCTCTCCCTAGCTCCCCTCTTCCCTCTCCCCCTCCCCCCTTTCCTCACAGGAGCGGAGGCCACGGCCTGCAGCATGAGCAGCCCGCCGCCCACGTCAACGATTAGCCCCGCCACCCACAGGGGGCTGCGCAGGTACGTCCATAGCACCTGCCGTGGGCGGAAAGGTGGGGGGGGGTGGGGGGACAGGTGGGGGGAGGGGAAAGGCATGCGGCACCCTTGAGTCGACTACGAGTCGACTCAACAGTCCATGACCAGCCCCGCCACCCACAGGGGGCTGCGCAGGTACGTCCATAGCACCTGGGGGGGGGAATGGGGGGACGGGGGAAAGGGGACGGTGGGATGGAGGAGGGTGGGGAGAGGTGTGGGGGATGATGTGGATGAGAGAGAATGGGGGTTGCGGGAAAATGCAGGGTCGTGGAGAATATTGGAATTGTCACATGCGTGTTGCTGCATCAATGGCGGGTATGTATCTGTGTGACCTGCACGCGGGAATGTGGGACGGCGGGAAAGAAAGGGGTGGGGTGGGGTGGGGGGGGCGGGGAAGGGGAAGGGGAGAAAGGGCGGAAGGGCGGAGGAGGAGGAGCGGGCACGCTGGTTCATGGAATTGATGGAGAGAAGGGAATGCGCATTTTGCTGGAAGTACTACGAAATGGCCGTAACAGGTAGGCGTGCAGCAAAGAAAGATCCAGGTGGAGACATGGGGAGGGCGGGGTGAGAGGGTGGAGTGGCAGCAGCAAAAAGCAAGCAGCGGGCAGCAAGCAGCGAGCAGAGAGCCGTGAGCAGGACCTTGGATTCGAGCGTGAGTCGCGGAAGGCTCCTCGTGGCCTGCTTCTGCAGCACCTTGCCGATGTTGTTGCCGCTCGACGCGGCCACCGCCGCGATCACCGCCACCCACATCGCCACGTCAGCGGACAAGCAGGCTGCGACACGTGAACCGCGGACCGCGGTAGGGGATGCCTGACAGCGTCTTGAAACCGCAAAAAACGGACAGCACGTTGGTACACGACCCTCCTGATTCCCTGTTTCCTACCTATTGCCTCCTGCCTCCTGCCTCCTGCCTCCTGCCTTCTCCCTGATTCGAGCGTTACGACGGAATCGGTTCAAAAAGGGAACGGCAAAAGGGAGACGGGAAGGGCAGGCTGGTCAACTCCCGCTCGAAGCAACGCAGCGGAAAAAAACCTAATCGTGTCGAACGATGAAACGAGATCGGGAAACCAGAGGCTCGGTCTACACGCTGATTGCTTATTGCCTGTGCATCGAGGCGCTAAGAAGAGACTAAGACAACGAAACGTATAAGATAGTACAAAATGCAGGGCCCCTGAAAGAATGGCTGGAAGGCCATTCGGGTGCTATTCGCGCGTCGTGATCTCTGCGATGCAATTCGCCATTCTCGGCCACTCCATACCGCGCCGATTATAGGAGCTAGTTAGAAAGGATCCAGAACCAATGCTGCTGAGTGAGCCACAATCTAGGAGGAGGAAAGGGACAGGCACACCGAAAAGGCAACTGCTGCCAATCTGAAGGCGTGTTGCAACAGACTTGCTTTTGTGTTCAATGCACGTGCACCTTCCCAAGTCTCGTGACAAGGCGACTGTTGTTGCAGCTTGGTAGGGGGAGCTCAAAAGTGAGCTGCTGGCGAAAAGCAAGGGAGCCTTATCGCGAAACCGACTTCGGGAAGTTTTCGTTGCATGGTTCCACCTTCAGGTCTGTCAGGGACCTACGGTTCATTGCAAAAGGAGTGTAACAGTTTTACTGGAGCAATACAGTGTTACTTGTATGCTTGGGCCATGCCAGGATTTGACTGACATGCATCACTGAAACTAGATTACCAGACTCCAAAACAATGTCTTTTTTTTTTCTGAAAGATAGTAGTATTAGAAACCGAATTCTATGGCATGGTCTGGCACTTGGGGATTGAGGTAGTAGTACAACGTGCAAGTCTAGACTGATCAGGCAACTTCGAACAAACCTGCAGCGGCTGCAGCCATACCTGCTCTTTATTGAACCGATTCCCTCCTCGTTTGTCCATCTACCCGGTCGCTTCTATTCCACCCATTGGCTAGTGTTGTAAGCTTGCCTCATCTACCAAACCGTGTTTGGCATTCGTGCAGTGAACTGAACCCCTCCATTCTATGGCTTGTGCTGTGATGTGCAGTGGTATGCACATTCAGATTACCCTTCCCATCCAAACCTGAAAGGGTGAATCCTTCCCTTTCCTCTTGAACCATCCATGAAATCGTGTCTCCAGGTTCAGACCGATTATTGGATTAGAACATCCGCCCAGCTACATTCTCGAGAAGACCGCCTGTTTGCGCGACCCGAGGGCCTTCACAGCGGCCGCAAGATCGTCTGAAAGAAGCATAGCAGAGTTCCACGTGGCCACGAATTCCAACCCATCTGCCACGCTGTGATCGCGCGCATGTCGCAGCACGGCCTTCGTTCCCACCACTGCCAACGGCGACTTGCCAGCAATCGCCTCCGCAACGCCTTGCACGTGAGCCATCAGCTCGCGCTGCGAGGGAAACACGCCCTGCACCAATCCCAGCCGCAGCGCCTCATCCGCGTCGATTGTTCGAGCCGTGAGCGCGAGGTGCATGGCGTTGCCGTAGCCCACGAGGCGCGGGAGGCGCTGCAACGTGCCGAGGTCGGCAGTGATCGCCAAGTCGACCTCTTTCACAGCGAATCGTGCGTCAGCGCTCGCAAAACGGACGTCGCACGCCGTCGCAAGGTCCACTCCGCCGCCTACACACACGCCGTGAATCGCGGCGATCACAGGCTTTCGACATCGCTCAAGAGAGGACAGTGATTCTTGCATGGAGAAAATTTGACGACGGAACGATTCGCGCTTCCTTCCCTCGCACTCTGTTTCACTGGTTGAAGACCCTGGCGCCGACGCGATTTGCGAAAGCGTCTGGAGGTCTAATCCTGCGCAGAAGTGCTTGCCTTCGCCTGAGATAACTATAACGCGTACAGAAGGATCGTCGTCTGCAGACGCGACTGCCAGCGGGAGCTCTCTGAACATGTCCAGGTTCATCGCGTTTGATGCATGAGGCCTGCTCAGCCTTAAATAAGCCACGCCACGCAGATCAACGTTCAGAGACAGCGAGGTGAAGCTAGCAGCTGCCATGGTTGAAGCTGGCAGTATCTCAGGATTGTCTACGGAAATATAATGGACGGAGGGGGGTAGTCGTGTATGTGCGCTTCATACAGCAGAGCCATTTGGAGCACCCGTCACAACAGGGATTTGGGGTCGGTTTGCACCACGGCCGCTGGGGCGTGCCGGGGCGTGCTCGGGCGTGCCAGGGCGTGCCTGTGCGTGGTGACTCGTGGTACGGAACGTTTTGTAAAGGTGGAAACCTCCATACCAGGTTCGCCGGGGCATGTCAAAGCGTTCCACACCACCGCCTTACCCCAGCTGCACACGTAGCAGACTTGCTTGCCCCCCGAGGGGGATGCTGCCAGCAGTGAAACAGGGGAGAGGCTCCGGGCACTGCGGGGTATAGCACGGTGCCTAAATAAGAAACTGTTCTAGTGGTAAAATAGAGAGAACACAAATAAAGGATGCAAGGGAGACCAAATGTTACGGGTGCAATGGAACGAGAAAGCGAGGATTGCACTAGGTTGTCAAACGAGTACAAAGTATGAGCGAAGACAATGAGCGAATACTTATACGTGAAACATGCAAACGGTAACGCGGTGCGTACGAGCTAGCTAGTGCTAGGCCGACATTGAGGTTTGGGATAGCCCCGAAGCGTAAGCCGGCGCGGCCGGGCCAGTGGTGCATGGTTTGGTGAATAGTGCGCGCGAATGTTGGCGAAGCCCCGTTAGCAGTAACGGACGAACAACGGCTGCTGCTGTACGCGATGTTGAAGAACGCGATAAGGAATGCCGAAAAATTCCTTAAACTACACCCCTCCCCCCCCCCCCACCCTCAAGAAGCCCCCTCCGCTACGCGAGTGCGTGTATATCGTGGAAACCCCGGCTCCTCAGTTAAACTTGCAGGGCAGGGTGGTTTTCGATTTTGGCCAAGGGCACCCAGTTATCTACAGTTGGCGTGCGGTCCTTCCAGCGAACGAGAAACTCGATCCTTTTTATGCCTGTGGGGTGGCGAATCCGATGGCTCAGAATTTTCTCGGGCTCGATGATCGGCTCCGATGCAGGGGGAGTCATGGACGGTGGGCGATGGTGTGGCAGTTGGCTGGTGGTTGGGATGTACGGGCGAAGCAGGCTGACGTGGAATGATGGGCTCATGTACCAGTCTGTCGGCAACAGTAGATGGGCGGTAACTGGAGTGATCATGTGGCTGATTTGAAATTGTCCGCAGTAGCGCGGTCACAGTTTTGGTACCACGGGCAGTCTTAAATTCAGTGTGTCGAGCAGTACGTAATCCCCTGGCTGGTATGTTACCAGGCGGCGGTGGCGGTCAACATTTTTCTTTGCGATGATGTTGGCCTTTTTAATTGCGTCTGCTGCTCGTGTTCGGGCAGCCTGCAGTATCTCGTGTCAGATTTATATGACATAGCTACTGTAGGCTATAGTGGGGTAGCACATATGGGGTACAGTTTTGTCAGAACATTATAGCTCATGCATATTGTGTAGGCTATAGTGGGGTAGCCCATAAGGGGTACAACCCAATTAGGGTTATTACTTGTACCCAATTCATTCATAGTTCATTCATTCCTTGTTTCTTCTCATGGTATCGAGCAGGTTCCCCCGTGGGAACTGTTCCTAGGGCCCACCGTTTTTTTTTTTTTTTCCTGCCCGGAGCGCACTCAGCCCCTGCCCGAGTCGCGCTCCCCTCTCTCGCGCCGCCCTAGCGGCCCCTTCGCGCCGCCCTCGCGGCCCCCCTTCGAGCCGCCCTCGCGGCTCTATCCGCCGCCCTTCGCGGCCCCTACTCCGCCGCCTTCGCGGCCCCGATCCGCCGCCCTCGCGGCCCCGATCCGCCGCCCTCGCGGCCCCGCTCCGCCGCCCTCGCGGCCCCCGATCCGCCGCCCTTCGCGGCCCCGATCCGCCGCCCTCGCGGCCCCGCTCCGCCGCCCTCGCGGCCCCGATCCGCCGCCCTTCGCGGCCCCGATCCGCCGCCCTCGCGGCCCCTACTCCGCCGCCCTCGCGGCCCCGATTCGCCGCCCTCGCGGCCCCGATCCGCCGCCCTCGCGGCCCCTACTCCGCCGCACTCGCGGCCCCTTACTCCGCAGCCCTCGCGGCCCCGATCCGCCGCCCTCGCGGCCCCGATCTGCCGCCCTAGCGGCCTCCGGCCCCTGCTCCTACGGCCCCGGCGCCTGCTCCTACGGCCCCCGCGCCTACTCCTACGAGCAGCCCACCCGCCGAGCCGCCCAGCAACCGAGCCGCCCAGCCGCCGAGCCGCCCAGCAGCCGAGCCGCCCAGCAGCCGAGCCGCCCTGCCGCCGATACGCCCAGCAGCCGAGCCGCCCAGCAGCCGAGCCGCCCAGCCGCCGAGCCGCCCAGCCGCCGAGCCGCCCAGCAGCCGAGCCGCCCAGCAGCCGAGCCGCCGAGCCGCCGAGCCGCCCAGCAGCCGAGCCGCCCAGCCGTCGAGTCGCCGAGCCGCCCTGCAGCCGAGCCGCCCGAACCGCCCTGTCCGGTAAGAGCAGCGCCTCTCTCACAGCACTGCCCTCACCCTACTGTTTGCACTGCTAGTATACTGCTGTCATGGCTACCCCTAGTGTCCTCGCTTTTGACGCTGAGGGTCGGGCCATTGACTTTGACGTCTGGATCGATGACCTGCAGCTTTTCTTACAGTGCGACAGAGCAGACGGCCTCTCCCTCTTTGACCTCACTTCTGGTGCCTCTCCTGCCCCCGCTGCTGATGCTGACGCCACTGTTCGCTCACAGTGGGCCACGCGCGATGCTGCTGCACGTCTTGCTGTGCGTCGCCACCTACCTACCTCTGAGCGTGCGCACTTTAGCCAGTACAAGAGTGCTCAGACCTTGTACGACGCTGTAGTTGCACGCTACTCCTCCCCTGCCACTGCTGCACTGAGCCGCCTCATGCTACCGTACCTCTTCCCTGACCTTGCTGCCTTTCCCACAGTCGCTGACCTCATTACGCACCTCCGCACTAGTGACACTCGCTACCGCGCTGCGCTTCCTGCTGAGTTCTGCGCCAAGAACCCCCCCCCCATATACATCACCCTCTACTACATAGTCACCCGTCTCCCTGACTCCCTTCGCGTAGTCAGGGACCACTTCCTCTCGGTTTGTCCCACCACTCTCACCGTTGACCTCCTCGAGAAGGCCCTCCTAGCAGCAGAAAAGAGCATAGTCGCTGTAGGAGCCTCTCGTGGTGACCCTCGCACCCCCATCTTTGAGGGGTGTTCCCCCTCCCCTCTTTTGCCCTCTGTTGCCTCTGCTGCTGCGGCCGACCTCGCTGGTTTGGAGTCGGTTGGGGCAGCGTCTACCCCTAGCGGGAGACGCCGCCCTGGCAGGGGCAAGGGGGGCAGGGGCGCTGGAGGAGCTAGCGGGGGCGGTGGAGGCGGCGGTGGAGGCGGTGGAGGAGGTGGGGGTGGCGGTGGGGGTGGTGGCGGGGGTGGAGGTGTAGGTGGCGGCAGTGGAGGCGCAGGCGGCAGCGGCGGTGGCGGAGGGAGCGGAGGTGGCGGCGGTGGAGGAGGAGGCGGCGGAGGAGGTGGAGCTGGTCGGGGTGGCGCTGCGCAGAGGGTCAGCTCCGGTGGTGGTCAGCGCCAGCAGCAGCAGCAGCAGCGCACTCGTGACGTCCCCTCCCCTCAGCAGCTCCGTGAGTGGTACACTGCACGCCAGAGGGGTTGGGGTACTGGTCCGTGCACCTACGTCCTGCGCACCGGCGACCGCGCGGGTGAGCAGTGCGGGGGTGCGCACTCCACCCAACGCTGCTTTGGCCGCCTGACGGACGCTTGGCGTCACCAGTTCCCTGAGGCCACTGAGATCCCCCGCTGGGGTGAGCTGTCTAGGGCGGGTGTAGCTGTCTTTGACCTTGACTTTGATGCTATTCTTGCTGCCATGTATACTGTGACTATTAGTGATGAGGGTGACTGTTACCGGTGTTTTCCGCCCGACCCGGGCATTGAGACTGCTGCTCTAGGTCCTGGTGAGGCTGCTGCTCTAGGTGCTAGCGAGGCTGCTGCTCTAGGTGCGTCTGCTCCCTCAGGTACTGGTGAGTCTGCTCTCTCAGGTTCTGCGTCGGCTTCGGCCTCGAACACCTTTACCCTTGACTCGGGGGCTTCTCGCTCCTTCTTTCGAGACCGCACCACACTCACGCCGCTTGGCCGGCCAGTTGCGGTCTCTCTGGCAGACCCCTCTGGGGGTCCTGTCTTTGCTCACTTCTCCACTGTCCTCCCGTGTCCGGCGGCCCCCTCTGGCACCCTGTCTGGTCTTTACCTCCCCTTGTTCTCTACGAACTTGGTGAGTGGTGCTGACCTACAGGATGCGGGGGTTCACCAGTTCACTCCTGCGAGTCAGCGGGTGACCCACTGCACGGACGCTCGGACAGGCCGACACCTGGCCACGTTTACACGTCGGCCGGGGTCGAGCCTGTACACACTGACCACTGCGTCTCCTCCGGTCCCTGCGTCTGGTCAGGTAGCTGCGTCGGGTCAGGTGTTTGCTGCAGCGTCCAGGTCTGGTCCTGAGTCTGCCCCCTGCTCGTGTCGCCTCCTGTCTCACGAGACTCTCCTCTGGCACCACCGCCTTGGTCACCCCTCCCTGCTTCGTCTCCGGAGCATGGCCTCCCGTGTCCTTGTCTCTGGTCTTCCCCGGTCCCTCCCTCCACTTCCTCCGGGGCCTGGCCCTACCTGCGTCCCCTGTGTCGAGGGACGACAGCGGGCTA